AAATGTTCTATGCACCTGTTCCACTGCTCTTAAATCTCAGTGACTGGTTTGCCTTGATTGTTCTTGAATATTCCCTCTGGTTTACAATATTTCCCTGCAAGTTTCTTCGTTATAACATATTTAGTTCTCTCGCAGATTTTTTCACTGTCAATGCTAGGTACTTTACGTATCTTTGCTTGTGAGCTCTTATGCTTATCTTCGTTCATTCATTTGCTTTTGTGTATTCGGCGATTCCCTTGTCTTCCTCTGCTCTGTTCTTCCTCAGCGTTTCAACGAAGACCTATGATATATGCTGGTTCTTTTTGTTGCGGTGATCCAGAAAATTGCTTGCAAAAGACAAGCAAGCATCAGGAAACATCAAGAAGCGTTTCGTCCAATCAGCGTTCACTTGGAGTCTTGGCCAGAAATATCAAGGAAATGAAGCGTCACATGCAGGGGCTCTGATTGGTTGGCTGCTACACTGTTACTATGTTTAGTAGCATTCCAGAATCTTCTAGCAACTCAAGGACATTTAAAATATTATAAAAACCCTTATATTTTCTGTATTAGAATGAACCTTGGAGTAAACTACTTCTCGCATACTTTGAGTCATATCTCTCGTGTTCAAATCGCTGTTTAGTTCTAGCTTGGGGTTACGGAATATCTTAGAAGACGAATATAGCGTTCAATCCGGCAAGACTTATCACTTTTACAGCCAGACTAACATCACGAAGGCGCCAAAGATGGACTAGATTAGCATAAGCCGCTCTGGCCCTTACTATACGTGGATCTCATCGACATTGTAATTATAAAACCATGGTACAAGAACGTAAATAGATTCCGAACACTTAATATCTAAATGGAGTAGTTCAATATCTACCAAAACTAGACCGATCGATGTGAAGATGGCACAGGTATTCAGTGTATAACAACGCTTTTACTAGTAACACCTAATATAACTCGTACCCACCAAGAGAAATCAAAAGACAGAATCGAGGAGATCAGAAGCTGTATTTGACGATTGCCAGTATATCGGAATTGTCTGATCTAGTCTGGCTAGCGATTGCAGTAGATGTTGAGCACGGCGTTCCCACACGTGATCTGGTGCGGATGCATGACCGAGCGCCTTCAGCTATGCGAGTCCACTAAAACTAATCTGGTCAGCATCCAATGTCAAGAAAGCTTACAGAGCTATTTATTTTGGGGATTTATTTACCGCTACAGATGTTTCTAGAGAATGTACTTATGCTTATATTAGATAGATGTCGAATGATTCACTAAAACCTCAAATTACTTAGCAACTTTGATTTCACTATAGTTATAGAATTCTTCAGGTATGCTAATTTGCTCTTTGACGTTGACGGAAGAAAAACCCAGCATACTATACCCATTGTATATGTTACTCTATGATTTGGACCTAGTACAGTATTGATCTAAACTTTCAGTCAATGTCGGACAAGTAAGTGAATCTCAATCAGATACTCATAAAATGTCCATGAGTAACATTTCGCAACACAATCGATGTAAGTGGACTTACTGTCAGGAAACATTGTAGAGTACATGATCAAATTTGGTAACATGCTCCCCAGACATCTCCTAATGAATTCCATCTAGGTGCACAGAATAAAAAATATGCAAAATTTATACCTACCTCCATGAACTCTTTGCTAGACAGTTACGTATACATTTTTGACCATAGTCCTAAATGATATGTTTGCTAGACATTGGATTGAGCATATAATACCGAGAAGATCTTAAAGAAAGTCATAATGTAGCGAACAAGGGCTGAGATGAGAAATAGCAATTAACTGTTTAATACCGAGTTACGGAATGAGTTCGAGAAATATGGAAATTATACACATCTTCCTTTACATACTCCACTACTTCTCCAATTCCATTATTGTTTGGGTCGCTCTCAGATTTCTTCCCTGTCCTCTTCATTACAATCTTCTGCTACCAGACATTCTATTTTCGGTTGGTGTTACATACTACTTGTATATGTTAACATATGTAGTGAACACCACAATAGTGAACAAAATTGGATTAATCGAATCCCTTTATGATGTCGTTTTAGAAATACTGTTTACCAAGCCTTTTATCAATGTATCACTTAGACAGCTCATGAACGAATTATCAACTGACTTATACTATATCTTAGCAAATATAAAATCCAAACACGTATTTTTCTTGGCATTTCAGTATTCACTAACCTTCATCCAGATTACTAAGCAACCTACTACCCTTGGGAGATACATTGTCTTTCTAGACAAGGTAGGGTCACCTAAGTACACCGAACTGTACTATATTTTTCAAGCTAATTAAATACAGTGACGATGAATATTAATTATCAGTAACAGTATTTAAAACTCAGTGTTTAGGTTTCACCTCACAAAATAATTAATGATATAACTTTTACTTATATTGGTTAGAACTTAAATGTACGTAGACAATAGTAACTTAACTTTCTTATGTATTTCGAATCATTAACTTCAATTGATTAAAGGAAAGTTCTACTATCTTGATTTATTATTGTTATATCCCGATAAGCATAATGAATGGTAACTTTTGGGATCCATTTATGGACCAATACTATGCGTAGACTTTTATCATGTAATTGTTAAATAAATAAACTGTTCATATTCATGTCCCTCTTATCATAAGGAACTCGGCTTTCACCATGAAGCGTCATAATTCTTCTAAATGAAGACCTTCTAACTCCCAGGGCAGAGTTAAAATGGTTTGGATTATTTTTTTCTGGTAAGCGTTTTTTTAGCGAGTTAGTTTTCTACAGAATTGAGCCGCTAACCCCATGCCCAACCCTCCTCCTTTACCCGGGCGTGGGACCGGCAGTAACCCTATAAGAGAATAAACTAGTATGGAGGACAACTGGAAAGGCATCAAGGAAGCATTAACTTCAACGTGTCAAGAAATTCTCGGTCTAAAGAAGTACCATCATAAGGAATAGATCTCTACAGAAACACTGGACAAGATCAAAGGAAGGAAGAACAAGAAGGCAGCATCGAAGCAGCACACATAGATCTTCCTATAGATGTCAATCCACCAACGACGGAAGAAATTAGAATGGCCGTCAGACAAATCAAGAACGGGAAAGCAGCAGGACCCGACAACATACCAGCTGAAGCACTGAAATCAGACATCGAAGCAACCACAAGCATGCTGTACCTTCTATTCAAAAAGATTTGGGAGGAACAAGTGCCGATGGACTGGAAAGAAGGACACCTCGTCAAGATTCCAAAGAAAGGAGATCTGAGCAAATGTGAAAACTACAGAGGCATTACACTACTGTCAATACCAGGGAAAGTCTTCAACAGAGTGTTGCTGAACCGGATGAAGGATGCAGTAGACGCCCAACTTCGAGATCAACAAGCTGGATTCCGTAAGGATCGGTCGTGCACAGACCAAATTGCAACACTACGGATCATCGTCGAACAATCAGTTGAGTGGAACTCATCACTATACATCAACTTCATTGATTATGAAAAGGCATTCGACAGTGTAGATAGGAGGACATTATGGAAACTTCTTCGACACTACGGAGTTCCTGAGAAGATTGTCAATATTATCCGGAACTCATACGACGGACTACAGTGCAAAGTAGTGCATGGAGGACAGCTGACAGATGCATTCCAAGTAAGGACCGGAGTCAGACAAGGCTGTTTACTCTCTCCCTTCCTCTTTCTTCTGGTGGTCGACTGGATTATGAAGACCTCGACATCTGAAGGAAAACACGGAATACAATGGACAGCTCAGAATCAATTAGACGATTTGGACTTCGCAGATGACCTAGCCCTCCTATCACGTACACACGAACAGATGCAGATGAAGACAGCCAGTGTAGCAGCAGTCTCTGCATCAGTAGGCCTCAGCATACACAAAGGGAAAACCAAGGTCCTCAAATTCAAAGCGGAAAACAGCAATCCAATCACTCTTGATGGCGAAACTCTGGAAGATGTAGAGTCCTTCACATACCTGGGAAGCATCATCGATGAACAAGGAGGTTCAGATGCAGACGTAAAGGCGAGGATCGGCAAAGCAAGGGTCGCATTCCTACAATTGAAGAACATATGGAACTCAAAACAACTTTCAACCAATATCAAAGTGAGAATCTTCAATACGAACGTCAAGGCAGTTCTACTGTATGGAGCTGAAACTTGGAGAACTACAACAACCACATCAAGAAAGTACAAGTATTTATAAATAGCTGTCTACGCAAGATACTCAACATCCATTGGCCGGATACCATCAGCAATAGCCTTCTGTGGGAGAGAACAAACCAACTTCCAGCTGAAGAAGAAATTAGGAAAAGACGATGGAAATGGATAGGACATACATTACGCAAATCGTCAAACTGCATCACGAGGCAAGCCCTAACTTGGAATCCTGAAGGGAAGCGAAAAAGAGGAAGGCCAAAGAACACATTGCGTCGGATAATGGAAGCAGATATGAAAAGGATGAATTACAACTGGACGGAGCTAGAAAGGATTGCCCAGGACAGGGTTGGATGGAGAATGCTGGTGATCGGCCTATCCTCCTTCACGAGGACTAACAGGCGTAAGTAAGTAAGTCTTATCATAAGCTTTATTTTGGCCTATGAACTATTATTATACGATTTATCATTCTTGAATTATGCCCTGTCTATTAATTACTACCTCCCATACTCGCAGCCACATTTGGCCAAATCTTGTACAAATGTTGTTTCCTATTTTATGGTACGGTGTTGTCTGTTTGATTAGTATATAAACCCAGTATGCTTGAAATAAATGATTCATATTGCCGAGGCTGAGATTGGTGTTCTGGACTTAACTGGCTGGGCTAGGCACGAAACACGACCAATCAGGACTCTAGGCTGCTCGTACGGGATTTATGCGTCACTGGTCCGATCGATAAGTCACTGCTCTCTAATTGGTAGTATCGTTACATTATACATTCGCATGGCACACAGCCCACAAGATATAACAATCATAAAATAACAAAATAGTCAATATGAAGCAATAGTAAAGTTACTACATTTAAATATATTTATTTAAGAGAAATCAAAATAATGACAATCGGTATAAAAGTGTATATATAGATATATACGATAGAAGTGAAGCGGATAAAATTACATAAAATTATTTAAAAGAAAAGAATCAAGTTAAAACATATCTTATTCGACAAAGATTTAAGTTCTCTTTTGTTGCATTTAAAAATTTGTACGGTATACCTGAAACAAAAAGATTGATCAGAGAATGAATAAATGTCAGAGAAAAATGAACAAAATTGATAAATTTTTAGCTCTTTAAAACTACATAATTTAAGTCTAAGAATGATCTTACTGAACTGTAAATATTATGTCTTTGAACAGATTATTAAATAGACACTTATGTAGACAGGTAGTGTGGAAAACAATTGGATAACCTATCATCTCAGTATGGTTGTGAATGAATACAACTTAAGTCATTCTCATAAAGTGTTCTTCATTATTTGGTGAGTTAAGTTTTCATTATGATCAAGTTATATATATCTTATCAATGGGATATAATGTATAACGAATGTATAGTCATTTTTAATTCAAGGAAATCTTTAAATAAGGAGGGAGAAATGATTCATTTTAAAGTAATTAATAAATTCTAGCTGTGAACAGTAAAATAAAATTAAGCAGAATAATACATGATTATTTTTATGATAAGAACTTACCTTTTGGAATATATACGATACAAGGTTTTGTTAAAGGAATGGCAAATTTCGCAATCTGTACAGCATAAAGACTGTAAGAACTGTTATTATTCATAAGAACAGAAGGACTTGACATCATTTTGAATACATTTATAGCGTTCGGATCATAATGAAGTTGACGTCTTTCTTGTTCCTTACTGACAATCCTCGTAAGATTTGCATTCATTTCAAAACAAGGTATACGAGTCTTAGTTCTACTTGGAAAAGCACCAGATAAAGCTGGAACTACGTAACTCGAGTATTCCATAGTAGAAAATTTGAATGGAGGAAATTGTGCATTTTCTGGATATATCACCTCTATAATTAAGGATAAAATCACTACCCATTACTGCTTATATCAGATTTAAAAGTTATTACAAAAATGAACAGACATTTTGTTTTACGAATGATAATCAGAGGAACTAAGATAGCCCATTACCATATGCTAAAATGACCTTCAGGTAACCGAAGTTAGGTGTACTCAACAGGCTAAGTAGATATACCTAACTAAATGTTAATAATAAAATATTAATTTCATAATAATCGCCGAATGTTGATGCTCACTGTAGTAAGAATATGGGACGATATCTTCTTGTAACTCAACATAATATCTTCAAGACAGTTCTCCAAACATCAAAATAAGCAGGGACAATTCAATTTATTTTAATTACTAGTTTCACTACTTAAGAAAATATAATAAATTTGAAGGCTAAATAATTCACCGATTAGTTCAAGAATCATCAAATATTCAAACACAGATAATATTGTGATTGTTGTCGGTTTTTGGTATGGAAATATACATACGTCCCAGTCAGGCTAGTCAGATGTTTTTCATCTGAGGTGTGTTGAAGTTCAGTAGAATAGATTGTTATAATTTGTGGTTTGTATGCTTATTGTCTTGGCTCTTTTAATGCTATTTTTGTATCTGGTCGTCGCTGATTGTTATGTCGGAAACGCCTATCACATGTACTCGGAACGAGGGACCTCTGCAATTCCCACGACGCAAAAGTAAGAACACAAAGACTGGCATAAGTGATGATTTATTAACCCCAAAACACTGACGACGACTCTAGTAGAAAACACACTCATTTATATATTGATTGTAGACCCATTTTGATTAATAATTAGAATATAATCACATATGAAAAATACTTAGAGTTATAACAAATCACATACTGAGCATAGTTTATGTCAATGGGATACAAGAATATCGCATATTATACAGAATAAAATATCATACAAGAAAAGAAAACAAATACTACATTGAGTCAAACGGAAGTAACCTTGAACAAAATTCATAATGAGTAAATCAATCGAAAATTGACTTTTTTCCCATCATATCATAGATACTGGAAAGGTATCTAGTGTACATATTTGTCTAAGGTAAATTATCGTCCCATTAGTGTAGACGGGGAAAAATCGAGCGTTGTAACACATTAATTAGTGTGGTCTAGTATCCGTCCTAATCATTATTAATCACTTTTGTTTTAAAAGTAGGTCACCATTATATTTAAACCAAGTAGATTTGAAATAATCTCTGTCAATCAAACTTCTATTCGGCTATTTGTTTAAACGTTAATGAATGTTCACTGATTACTGAAATACGGATCACCTACCTATGCAATATAAAATATATTCTGCATATGAGAACGATAAAGCTAATTTACTCAAAGTAATATTAACGTTAGTAAGAACTTTTAGTCAAAATATGGTTGGGTAAGAAAAAAATATTATTCAATACTTCGTCTGTTATTTGACATACGTTGGAAAGGAGATGCATCATTGATCCCGATAGGCAACTGTGTTTCTGTATGTGATATCCATTCAACATCTGGATCCAATTGAATTCGCATACATGGATCTGTTTCAGGTTTCTGTGCACCTTTTATAGAAAAATAGAAGTAGTGGCATAGTTGTTAATATATTTTAGATTAAAATATTTAGTTATGAGCACCTAAAACTTTATGGTAAAAGCTGCCGTAAAAGTTACTTTCAATTGACTATCAGACTCAGCTTCCTAGCTACCACCAAAGACTAGCTACACTTGACCTGACATACTAGTATCCAGTAACTGTAAGAAAATAATACAACCATAGGTTCAAAAAGAACAGAAACTTCAGGGTCCTATGATGCATCCCAAGTACGATGAAATATGATTATCTAGTAATGTGTACTTCATACAGTAAGCGATACTTCAGAATAAGTTTACTGAATAGATCTTTGATTTAGTGCACACTTGATAAATAAGACAACATATAAACTGTGAAGAAATTAGAATACATGCAAGATGAAAATAACTCAAAATATTTTAAAAAAAGTAACATTACAGAAAATATACAACAACAGATAAGTCGGTAACCTAAATATTATTATATTTCGCTCTTATAGTCACCTACCTTTCAGTGATCTGTAACGTTTGGCCAGTTTTTGAAGGCGTTTTGCTCGATTGATTTTTTCATTTCTTAAAAACTGAGTACGATTATTTTGACAACGTTTTAAACGATTGAGAAATTTTTGACGTCTGTTAATTTCATCTGGGTCAGGTAATATAGCTAATCCAATTGGTTTTTGATAAACTAAACCATATTCATCTTTATCCGGTTCATAAACAACTACTTTATTCCTATCATGTGTAGCTGGTACACGTAGTCGTTTACTACGTCTTAAATGGCCATCACTTTGTATAAAACTTTTAGTAGGAGGTCGTTTTGATTCTAGTAAAAAACAAAATTAACAAACAGGTCAGTGTCAACCAATGAAAAAATGAACATCAGGAAATAGCATTTAGAAAAAGTTTGAAATACAAATACTTTTATTCGTGAACTGATTATTACTATTACTACTTTGCCATCGATGACATGCTGGAAACAGCTCTGATGGATGTAAGTAATGGTGGTGTGGATCTGTTGCCTGGAGAAAGACTTCTCGACCTTGAGTATGCGGACGACATTATCTTACTGTGTGATAATGCCCAAGGCATGCAATCCGCACTTAATCAGTTGGCAATCAGTGTCCGTAGGTATGGTATGTGCTTTGCACCTTCGAAGTGCAAAGTACTTCTACAAGACTGGCAGGATTCTAATCCTGTACTCACCCTGGATGGTGAGCAGATAGACGTAGTTGAGAAGTTCGTGTATCTGGGTAGCTGCATAAGTGCTGGTGGGGGTGTGAGTGATAGGATCAGTGCACGTATAGTGAAAGCCAGAGCGGCTTATGCTAATCTGGGCCACCTTTGGCGCCTTCGTGATGTTAGTCTGGCTGTAAAAGGTCGGATCTACAACGCGTCGGTGAGAGCAGTTCTGCTCTATGCTTGTGAAACCTGGCCTCTCCGAGTTGAGGACGTTAGACGACTTTCTGTGTTCGATCATCGCTGTCTCCGAAGGATTGCTGACATCCAGTGGCAACATCATATTAGTAATGCAGGGGTTCTGCATCGTGTGTTCGGGCACAGAGACGATAATTCAATTGCTGTCACCATCTTGAAACACCGACTTCGGTGGCTCAGACATGTTCTACGAATGTCATCCCAGAGAATTCCACGTCGTGCATTATTTGCCGACGCTGGGACTGGTTGGAAAAAGCGGAGAGGTGGTCAGTATATGACATGGTGTCGTGGGATGGAAGGAAACTGTAAAGGACTGGCTTGTGTTGGTCCTCCACGACTCCCTGGTTGGGATCCGAGAGATGGTGCTACTCAGTGGCTAGAGACGTTATCAGATATGGCTCAGAATAGAAGCCAGTGGCGATCCTGCTGTAACCTTCTTTTACCTTCTTCGTAAAAAGTGGTTGTATCTTACTTAACTGAAAGATTTCTTCTGATTGTACCCTTCTGTTCCCCTACTATTGCTATTATTATTACACTACCTCACACCAATCTCTTCGTTATTGTTTATTATTATTACTATTTTTTACGTTCCTCACTTTTTCTTCTTCTTAGGTTCCCATTGTTTTGTGTGGCGCATGTATATTTGGCGCACTCCTGTACCAATATATATGTGTTCAAATAAAATAAATAATAAATAAATTCCTGATCCTGAAAATATCTTTCCTAAATAAGCTAACTATGATTAGTTTACATTAGATAAACTAAGACATTTGATTGTGTACATTGAAAGCAAAAAGTTGATGTGAATACATCATTATAACCTAGAAAAGAAACATTCTAGTAATAAAATATAGAATATAATAAATTTTATAACAAAAACTAGTCATCATGTCAGTCAGTCAGCTAAATGTAGGACCAAGCACAAATATGCATCGGTCTTAGTTACCACACCTCATTAGCACAACAAAATCAACACCAAGTTAATATGCACAGTTACCTCAATGGCAGTAAAAAATCAACAGGGAGAAAGAATTAACGCCGTAGAAAGTTAGCAACTTCAAGGACTGATTCTATGTTTTGGTTTGTCCGCCCCTAACTTTCTTCCAACCATTCCCAACACTAGTCGGCATTGTGCGTCGTGGTAATCGGTGTTCAGGCATACGTAACACGTGGCCCAACCATCTCAGTCAATGAAGATTTACAAAATCATCATGTATTCAGGTCACAAATAAACTGTCTCTTATTTTTCTCATAAAAACAGTGAGCCTTATCGTAATGATAAATAAGATGATGAAATATAAGAAAAATAAGTAATCGACTAACTGAATGGTAAAAACTGGCAATCGTATGGAGTACACCATGGAAGTTTAATTCTTGATAACGATAACGAGGAAGTGGATGGAGATGGATACATTGAGTCTTGAGTGCTACATAACGCAGTCGATTCAAAAAAGGATCCAATATTCTCTTTATTTTCACTCTGAGTCTATAGTTGAAACACAAATGAAAACATGAATAAATATATACGAACAATAGATGGTGATACTTCGTCAGTAACAGGAAATAAACAGATGGAACACAAAAAATCGAACAACAGACAAGAATTGTAAATGGCTGACTTCAAGTCATTGATACTACGTCACTTTTAATATAAGCTGGAAAAATTTAACTAGTGATTCATCTGGTCAATGCTTAATGAATATGTATACAAAAAACCGAACTAATCCAACATACTAAACACCAAATTAATCAAAAATGTACAAACTGATTATAATAGGTAATGATCTGTCATTAGGATTGTTAAAATGTGAACAACAGAAATGGTCTTATAAAAAATGTCCAACAAAACCACTAACTAGTAAGCATATTCTTGTCTAGGATTGATCATAGTGAATGAAACGGATTCAACTACATGAAGTATGCCTTGTAGCCATAAACTAGTAATCAGAAGAGTATCAAACATATCCGATTTCGTGACTAGTTAGTTATTATTTGTTGAACTCGAATTTTAAAAAAACAAACAAACAGATTGTCAAAACTAGGTCTTTTAGATAAGGTTATACGATTGTAAAATTTAACTTATTTCTTACTGAGTGATGTCACCAAAACTTTTCATTTGAACGATAACAGAGAAATTGAACTTGTGAATTATAGGACAAAATGATTCATCTAAAACAGTTTGAATAATTCAATGCTAAAAGCCAACGTTAATAACACCAAATAAACTTGAATTTTTAGTCAATCGTGTTGACTTGTCAAATTATGTAGTTTATTTAATATAGGTGTGAGTAGATAATTCGGTGAAGGACCAATTTAAAGCACAATATAATCGTAATTTTCAGTTAAATTCAATAATTTTAACTGGATAAATTCAATGATAAAAGATATTCGAGTAACTTGAAGTATTTCTGATAATTAAGTTTCTCAAGAACTACATTTAACACGGAAACCATCAAGTTTTTCTAAAACTCAACAAAAAATTCATTAAGCCAGAAACATTTCATTGACAAAGGTAATAAAATTTAGAAAGTACATGGCTTACCAAGGAACCTTCTTGAGGAATTAGCTTTTCCGACAGTTCGCAATCAAAATGAGTAAGATCACTTTCCTCATGAGCAATCGGACCAACAGATACTCTGGGTTGAGAATTATCTGGACTATCAAAATATACTGTTCATGAAAAAGAAAGACAGAGGATGTCAGATTTTGATTTGTAACTATGTAAATAAAAGTAGTGTTTTTAAAACAATCGAAGAAGTCTTTTAAAGTAGAATTTAGCACCACTTAATTATTTCTAGGATTAAAATTCAAGAACTGAACTTCACTACGTTGTTTGTCTAATAAATAAGTTCGAATAAGGTCAAAAACACTTTACTGCTCAAAATTTGTCCCGTTTACATTTCCATTGCTCAAAACCCTAGTGGTATTTTCCAGTCGTTTTTCGTCCCGCGTATTTGTGAAAACTTGTATATAGACAAGGGTTCCCATATTCAGCTTGTCAGAAATCATTATAATCGTGAAACGGTGAACAAAAAGGAAGAGAGATCACACGCGTCCAATGTTTTCACGAACAAAGAAAGTCGATATTCATCCTTGTGGCTGTCACTACTATTGGCTTAAAAAGAGCTTTCTTATTTACCTTGTTAACTTCATAAATATCCTTTAGTATTTCATGAACTTTCCCAGATTTTTTGTCAATTCATACCAAAGCCTTAGTGGTCTAGTTCGTGCATTTATTAAAACAGACTATGTAAAATTAGCAGTCCTTCAGTATAACTTAGTATATACTAGAAAATTTATTCATCGAATGTAATGTATTAGAAATACCGGTTGTTTCTGGTAAGAAAAAGACTGCTAAACGAAACTTTAAAACTTAGTAGATATTAGTCAAATGGTGAAGGTCAGCTTAAATAAAATATTTATCCTTACATCATTCCATTGCTGAATGATAGAAAAGAAAAGAGACGAGTATTGTAAACTTAAGTTTCATTCCAGTAATTGTTATGATCGAACGAGTATCGAATAGATTGTAACTCTTAGAACTGAGTCACAGATTATTGTTATTTATCTTCTCACTGGGGTAAAAAAAACTTAGTAGACAACTGTTATTTTATCTCTGTAATCCCTTTATTGTAAGCTCCCGGTGGACGAATTAACTGTTGTGATGTGTATCTCGATTATTACTAATCCACTATGTACCGTCTGCTTCGCTCTTTGCTGCTTATGGCAGTCAGGAAACTACGACGTAGGACCAGGCACATATGCTTATGTCATGATTGTATGTACAGTACGACTTCATATTGAAGTGTGCTGAGGTCTAATAATTTATGTTGAGATATAATAATAGGAATTTGGCTGCTTTTTTCGGACACAAGGCTAAAGATAGATGGCATGGGAATCGGTGGAGTCATAGAAGAAAAAGCTTACGTTAGCTCAAAATTAACTGCATTTGTCAGGACGTATTACTGGATATAGACGGAATACCATACACTGGGTAGCAAAATTCTGATTTACAAGCTTAAAAAGTGATATGAATTAAATACTCAGGAATAAAAGTAATGACTAGAAAATTCTATGTTGTAAACGATCAATCACATTTTTTTATTGAAATATAAAATGTCAGATGTTTCAATGTTTATACAGTCAACAAATGGATTCGCATGAACATTTTAATTTGTTAAATAACGTAATAACCAATCGGCTAGTTCACGAGAGTAATTCAGAACAAAATTTTGATGACACAAAATGTCAAATTACTGAATAGGAAGGAAATTCCAAATGCAATAAAACGGAATGACGATAACATAGTTGGAATATGATTCAGTTACTTTAATGAATACATGCATTAATCAACTGCGAGTGTTATATGACTTATTTACAAACTTATGAACACAAAAAATACAATGTCCAACAAAATAAACAGCTCATTTATTGTAAATATGAAACCAAAACATATGTAACCATACCAAAGCAGAATACCGATAATCACGACGTAGCTAGTGTATTAATACACATCGATAACCTGGTTATGCACTCAAAATAAATCATTTATACAGAAGGTACACAACGAAATGGTAGATTGAATAAGTCAAAAACACTTACCTACGATTGGTGCGAATGTCACACTCGGACGACCTTTAGGTACGATAGGCAAATTTGATAAACTTCTTGAAGAATTCTAAAGAACAAACGAAAATATAATAACAGCCGCGCTAAGAGTAGACAAAACAAACTGGACAAAAACAAGTAAAATCATATCAACGATAAAAAATTACCTGGAAATCACTAGTCCCCATCAAAGAAGAACACACACCTACAAAAAAAAATATGGCAAAAATAAATCTTCAAAAAAAAAATAAACGACAACAGAAAAAACATCAAAAAATTAAACCAATAACAAAAAATCAAAAACAAAATTACAAAATCCTAAAAAACAAACGAAAAAATTTAACACACAAGCAAACAAACCGTGATACTGCATACAAACATCAACATTACAACCGCAAAGACTCGGTGACAACACCTGGAGAGAGGACACTGGTAGCTTCAACATCACCATACCATCATTAGAAGCATCTTTTGCTCCATCTGAAGTAACAACTACAAAACCAACAATCAAACACAGTAAGCATAAACAACACGATACATGGTGATAATATCACTGAAAGACGCATATACATATACATTTCTTTGTTCATCCATATATATATGCACATGCATACATACACACACCTATGTGCTCACATAATAACCTCCATTTTCAACCTGAAATCAATCACACTCTCTAACACACAAACACACGACGGACATCGATAAACAAACAACCACAACGACTGGAAAAAAAACACATACCGTCTGGAATCGCAACATCATCTTCACAACGGTAAGGGATCGGTGATAATCCTTGGAGAGAGGATACCGGTGGCTCCAACATCTCGCTATTATCTCTCGAAACATTCTTCTCTTCATCTAAAACAACACCTACAAAGTTAACAATAAAACACAGTTGGCAAAAATAAGGACATCACAACAGTAACTGCTAAATGAATATGGTGGTTAGGCTTGCATATCGTGGTCACTTAATCGATTTATATGGGCTGTAATACTTGTTCGTTTAGGTATTATCATAACATGCAGGTCGGTTTGGAGAACGGTCAGTATGAAATTAGTAACCTCAGGTCTGAAGGAGAAATCATACTGCTAATTGTACAGTCGTATGATAACAGTAAAGTGTTTTCTTCAGAAAACCAGCATCTACGGCAATGATGCCTTCTCACAGCGAAGGGAAGAAGTTAGAAAATATCGACTCTGAAATGATTTTACAACTTACACCACGGATTTACGTCTTCAGTGCCAAGGCCTTTGGAAGTAGGGAGCTAGGAGATCATAAACCTCTCATAAAAGGGTCATGTTTTACCGACATCAAACTATTGTCCCTTAGCCTCCGTCGCCACACTCCCACGTCTTCATGGCCAACAGGCTGCTCCAACTATGCTCACATAACCGTTTATTTCTAGCAAGCATCAACTCCAATCATAAGGGAAGACATTGTCTGACACTGCGACACCCACAACCGAATGAACAACGGATTCAAATAGATCACAGTGCCACCAGTCATTATTGGAGAGGCTCGATAGTAGACAGCCGATCATTATAGAGCACATGTCTAGACTTTGATCATATCCTAGCGAGAACACATGTTTGTCTGTATCTTACTGAAAACATAAAGGCCATAGCAAGAAGACCCCTTAGAGTTCGACTTAATGGTGAAACAGTCAAGCGTACATTTCAGCAGCAAATAGAAAATCAGTTAAATAACCATGAAAGTGATATCCACTCCAAGGTAGCTTGGTATGATATTTAAACAAATTTATAAACAGCAGTAATATCTACCAGTAAATTAAACTAAAGCGTTGAGAAACGTCAATGGATTTCCGTAGAGTCCACTGAACTGATAGATGCCCAGAAACTCATCCGTCTAACTCCAAACACGATGAGGAGTGAGAGCAGCTTACATGTAGACGGATCAAAAGCCTAAGCAATGATCGTGAGCAGCGGTGGGCAGAGAAAGCAAAAGTGATGGAAAAGGCAGCAGTAGTAGTTAACAGTAGACAACTATTCAGACTTATCAAGCGAACAGGTTTTAATAACCCGGCTGTTAGTGAGACTATCTCAGGACTATTATTCACTCTCAACCCATGAGATTAGACCGATATGCAGAACATTTTAGGCAACAGTTCAACTGACCTCCTGCTACCCTTCACTTACTCACTATCGCCAAACAGCCTGAAAGGAAAATCGACATCAGCCCTCAAACTCTTAGTGAGGTTGAAAAATCTATAACTAATCTAAAGTGACACAGAGCAGCAGGTTCAAATGGGTTAGCTCTGGAGATCTCTAAAGATAGTAGTCTAGTTTGCCAGTCAGATCGACTGAGATCATAATTAGAATATGGGAATTAGACATAATCCCATCTGACTGGTCTCGATCGCTGATTGTCCCAGTTTATAAGAAAGCACAGAAATCTCCCTAGTCGTGACCACAAAGGAATCTGTTTGAATAATATAACACCTAATATATTTTCCCCAATAACCAGGGCTCGTGAAGAGAGAAATCGGGACAGTCAGACTCGGTTCAAACCTAGACGTGAACGTAACAACCAAATACCCACCCTTTGTCAAGTCCTGGAACATAAACATACTTCTCGACATCCGACTACAGTGTATTTCTTAACCTTAGACTTTAAGGCAGTTTTCGACCCTGTCGAATGTGGGGTTCTGTGGCAGTGTTTGTCATTAAAAGGCATACCAAAGAAGTACATCAAATTTGTAGAGGTTCTTCACTTCAACACTATTGGTCAAGTTAAAGTTTATCGAGAACTGTCAACCTCAAGTAGTGTTCCTCAGGATTGTGCAGTTTCTCCACTCTTATTTAACTTCGTCATCGATATCCTTTTAAAAATGATACTCTCATAGTCTGACTTTTTAGAGGTCGGTCTTCTACCAGAAGATTCGCTTATTGATTTAGAATACCCAAGTGATATCGTGCTGTTTGGTAAAGACGCTGAAAAAATATTGAGACCACTGTCGCCTTAAGCAATAATGCAAGCATGTTTAAGACGCGATTCTCTCCCTATAAATCAAAATTCTTAATTCAAAACTGGGCTGCGTCAACCTCTGCATTAATGATAAGGAGTGAAGTAGCTGAGCATGTCGATCACTTAATTTATCTTGGACGTCTCATCAGTCCTGATGAATAGGTATTTGATGAAACCACGACACGGAATCAAAAAGTTCGGTCGGCTTTTGTGTCACTCATGGAGTGGGTGAGATATTAGTCTGTCAATCAAAGGACGAGTTTACTAATCAACAATTCACTTGGTTCTACTTTATGGGTGCCAAACATAGCCAATAAGAACAGAGAATGTTCTCAGGTCACTATTATTCGATCATAGGTGAACCGATACACAGCTCATACATTTTTGTCTGCCGAGTGAGCAATACTGAAGTTACGCATAGGATACTAAGTACAGATTGCCAAATCGATTGATCAGGAAGTGAATATTCATCGGCTGAGGTGGTTCGTATATGTCTCGCCTATGCCCAATCACCGCCTAAATCAACGAGCGATATTGTCCAGTGTACAAGTAGACCAGGAGAAAGCTAGGTGGGGCCAAGAGAAGCCATGTCACTAGACCATGAAGCCATTGATAATTAGACTGATTCATATTAATCACTGTAGAATACCTATGTGTGGTCGCGTAATTATCGTAACCAATCGCAAGAGACTATGGATAACAAGCCTGAGAATGGTTCGCAATACCCCAGACACATTCACTCACTACCTTCCCTCAAAACATCATTGATGAATTAACACTTTCAATACCCAATCACTTTTACAAATACAGACAATGTTACTAAATCTACAACTCAACAATTTGTAAAAAAAAATATTAGTATCTAACACCAAATACCCAAAATCATATACCGCAAAAAAACGCAAACGCACGTCGAACATCAATAAACAAACAACCAAAATAACAGATAAACAAATACATACCTTCTGGCATCGCAACATCATCTTCATAACGGTAAGGGATCGGTGACAATGCCTGGAGAGAGGACACTGGTAGCTTCAACATCACCATACCATCATTAGAAGCATCTTTTGCTCCATCTGAAGTAACAACTACAAAACCAACAATCAAACACAGTAAGCATAAACAACACGATACATGGTGATAATATCACTGAAAGACGCATATACATATACATTTCTTTGTTCATCCATATATATATGCACATGCATACATACACACACCTATGTGCTCACATAATAACCTCCATTTTCAACCTGAAATCAATCACACTCTCTAACACACAAACACACGACGGACATCGATAAACAAACAACCACAACGACTGGAAAAAAAACACATACCGTCTGGAATCGCAACATCATCTTCACAACGGTAAGGGATCGGTGATAATCCTTGGAGAGAGGATACCGGTGGCTCCAACATCTCGCTATTATCTCTCGAAACATTCTTCTCTTCATCTAAAACAACACCTACAAAGTTAACAATAAAACACAGTTGGCAAAAATAAGGACATCACAACAGTAACTGCTAAATGAATATGGTGGTTAGGCTTGCATATCGTGGTCACTTAATCGATTTATATGGGCTGTAATACTTGTTCGTTTAGGTATTATCATAACATGCAGGTCGGTTTGGAGAACGGTCAGTATGAAATTAGTAACCTCAGGTCTGAAGGAGAAATCATACTGCTAATTGTACAGTCGTATGATAACAGTAAAGTGTTTTCTTCAGAAAACCAGCATCTACGGCAATGATGCCTTCTCACAGCGAAGGGAAGAAGTTAGAAAATATCGACTCTGAAATGATTTTACAACTTACACCACGGATTTACGTCTTCAGTGCCAAGGCCTTTGGAAGTAGGGAGCTAGGAGATCATAAACCTCTCATAAAAGGGTCATGTTTTACCGACATCAAACTATTGTCCCTTAGCCTCCGTCGCCACACTCCCACGTCTTCATGGCCAACAGGCTGCTCCAACTATGCTCACATAACCGTTTATTTCTAGCAAGCATCAACTCCAATCATAAGGGAAGACATTGTCTGACACTGCGACACCCACAACCGAATGAACAACGGATTCAAATAGATCACAGTGCCACCAGTCATTATTGGAGAGGCTCGATAGTAGACAGCCGATCATTATAGAGCACATGTCTAGACTTTGATCATATCCTAGCGAGAACACATGTTTGTCTGTATCTTACTGAAAACATAAAGGCCATAGCAAGAAGACCCCTTAGAGTTCGACTTAATGGTGAAACAGTCAAGCGTACATTTCAGCAGCAAATAGAAAATCAGTTAAATAACCATGAAAGTGATATCCACTCCAAGGTAGCTTGGTATGATATTTAAACAAATTTATAAACAGCAGTAATATCTACCAGTAAATTAAACTAAAGCGTTGAGAAACGTCAATGGATTTCCGTAGAGTCCACTGAACTGATAGATGCCCAGAAACTCATCCGTCTAACTCCAAACACGATGAGGAGTGAGAGCAGCTTACATGTAGACGGATCAAAAGCCTAAGCAATGATCGTGAGCAGCGGTGGGCAGAGAAAGCAAAAGTGATGGAAAAGGCAGCAGTAGTAGTTAACAGTAGACAACTATTCAGACTTATCAAGCGAACAGGTTTTAATAACCCGGCTGTTAGTGAGACTATCTCAGGACTATTATTCACTCTCAACCCATGAGATTAGACCGATATGCAGAACATTTTAGGCAACAGTTCAACTGACCTCCTGCTACCCTTCACTTACCACTATCGCCAAACAGCCTGAAAGGAAAATCGACATCAGCCCTCAAACTCTTAGTGAGGTTGAAAAATCTATAACTAATCTAAAGTGACACAGAGCAGCAGGTTCAAATGGGTTAGCTCTGGAGATCTCTAAAGATAGTAGTCTAGTTTGCCAGTCAGATCGACTGAGATCATAATTAGAATATGGGAATTAGACATAATCCCATCTGACTGGTCTCGATCGCTGATTGTCCCAGTTTATAAGAAAGCACAGAAATCTCCCTAGTCGTGACCACAAAGGAATCTGTTTGAATAATATAACACCTAATATATTTTCCCCAATAACCAGGGCTCGTGAAGAGAGAAATCGGGACAGTCAGACTCGGTTCAAACCTAGACGTGAACGTAACAACCAAATACCCACCCTTTGTCAAGTCCTGGAACATAAACATACTTCTCGACATCCGACTACAGTGTATTTCTTAACCTTAGACTTTAAGGCAGTTTTCGACCCTGTCGAATGTGGGGTTCTGTGGCAGTGTTTGTCATTAAAAGGCATACCAAAGAAGTACATCAAATTTGTAGAGGTTCTTCACTTCAACACTATTGGTCAAGTTAAAGTTTATCGAGAACTGTCAACCTCAAGTAGTGTTCCTCAGGATTGTGCAGTTTCTCCACTCTTATTTAACTTCGTCATCGATATCCTTTTAAAAATGATACTCTCATAGTCTGACTTTTTAGAGGTCGGTCTTCTACCAGAAGATTCGCTTATTGATTTAGAATACCCAAGTGATATCGTGCTGTTTGGTAAAGACGCTGAAAAAATATTGAGACCACTGTCGCCTTAAGCAATAATGCAAGCATGTTTAAGACGCGATTCTCTCCCTATAAATCAAAATTCTTAATTCAAAACTGGGCTGCGTCAACCTCTGCATTAATGATAAGGAGTGAAGTAGCTGAGCATGTCGATCACTTAATTTATCTTGGACGTCTCATCAGTCCTGATGAATAGGTATTTGATGAAACCACGACACGGAATCAAAAAGTTCGGTCGGCTTTTGTGTCACTCATGGAGTGGGTGAGATATTAGTCTGTCAATCAAAGGACGAGTTTACTAATCAACAATTCACTTGGTTCTACTTTATGGGTGCCAAACATAGCCAATAAGAACAGAGAATGTTCTCAGGTCACTATTATTCGATCATAGGTGAACCGATACACAGCTCATACATTTTTGTCTGCCGAGTGAGCAATACTGAAGTTACGCATAGGATACTAAGTACAGATTGCCAAATCGATTGATCAGGAAGTGAATATTCATCGGCTGAGGTGGTTCGTATATGTCTCGCCTATGCCCAATCACCGCCTAAATCAACGAGCGATATTGTCCAGTGTACAAGTAGACCAGGAGAAAGCTAGGTGGGGCCAAGAGAAGCCATGTCACTAGACCATGAAGCCATTGATAATTAGACTGATTCATATTAATCACTGTAGAATACCTATGTGTGGTCGCGTAATTATCGTAACCAATCGCAAGAGACTATGGATAACAAGCCTGAGAATGGTTCGCAATACCCCAGACACATTCACTCACTACCTTCCCTCAAAACATCATTGATGAATTAACACTTTCAATACCCAATCACTTTTACAAATACAGACAATGTTACTAAATCTACAACTCAACAATTTGTAAAAAAAAATATTAGTATCTAACACCAAATACCCAAAATCATATACCGCAAAAAAACGCAAACGCACGTCGAACATCAATAAACAAACAACCAAAATAACAGATAAACAAATACATACCTTCTGGCATCGCAACATCATCTTCATAACGGTAAGGGATCGGTGACAATGCCTGGAGAGAGGACACTGGTAGCTTCAACATCACCATACCATCATTAGAAGCATCTTTTGCTCCATCTGAAGTAACAACTACAAAACCAACAATCAAACACAGTAAGCATAAACAACACGATACATGGTGATAATATCACTGAAAGACGCATATACATATACATTTCTTTGTTCATCCATATATATATGCACATGCATACATACACACACCTATGTGCTCACATAATAACCTCCATTTTCAACCTGAAATCAATCACACTCTCTAACACACAAACACACGACGGACATCGATAAACAAACAACCACAACGACTGGAAAAAAAACACATACCGTCTGGAATCGCAACATCATCTTCACAACGGTAAGGGATCGGTGATAATCCTTGGAGAGAGGATACCGGTGGCTCCAACATCTCGCTATTATCTCTCGAAACATTCTTCTCTTCATCTAAAACAACACCTACAAAGTTAACAATAAAACACAGTTGGCAAAAATAAGGACATCACAACAGTAACTGCTAAATGAATATGGTGGTTAGGCTTGCATATCGTGGTCACTTAATCGATTTATATGGGCTGTAATACTTGTTCGTTTAGGTATTATCATAACATGCAGGTCGGTTTGGAGAACGGTCAGTATGAAATTAGTAACCTCAGGTCTGAAGGAGAAATCATACTGCTAATTGTACAGTCGTATGATAACAGTAAAGTGTTTTCTTCAGAAAACCAGCATCTACGGCAATGATGCCTTCTCACAGCGAAGGGAAGAAGTTAGAAAATATCGACTCTGAAATGATTTTACAACTTACACCACGGATTTACGTCTTCAGTGCCAAGGCCTTTGGAAGTAGGGAGCTAGGAGATCATAAACCTCTCATAAAAGGGTCATGTTTTACCGACATCAAACTATTGTCCCTTAGCCTCCGTCGCCACACTCCCACGTCTTCATGGCCAACAGGCTGCTCCAACTATGCTCACATAACCGTTTATTTCTAGCAAGCATCAACTCCAATCATAAGGGAAGACATTGTCTGACACTGCGACACCCACAACCGAATGAACAACGGATTCAAATAGATCACAGTGCCACCAGTCATTATTGGAGAGGCTCGATAGTAGACAGCCGATCATTATAGAGCACATGTCTAGACTTTGATCATATCCTAGCGAGAACACATGTTTGTCTGTATCTTACTGAAAACATAAAGGCCATAGCAAGAAGACCCCTTAGAGTTCGACTTAATGGTGAAACAGTCAAGCGTACATTTCAGCAGCAAATAGAAAATCAGTTAAATAACCATGAAAGTGATATCCACTCCAAGGTAGCTTGGTATGATATTTAAACAAATTTATAAACAGCAGTAATATCTACCAGTAAATTAAACTAAAGCGTTGAGAAACGTCAATGGATTTCCGTAGAGTCCACTGAACTGATAGATGCCCAGAAACTCATCCGTCTAACTCCAAACACGATGAGGAGTGAGAGCAGCTTACATGTAGACGGATCAAAAGCCTAAGCAATGATCGTGAGCAGCGGTGGGCAGAGAAAGCAAAAGTGATGGAAAAGGCAGCAGTAGTAGTTAACAGTAGACAACTATTCAGACTTATCAAGCGAACAGGTTTTAATAACCCGGCTGTTAGTGAGACTATCTCAGGACTATTATTCACTCTCAACCCATGAGATTAGACCGATATGCAGAACATTTTAGGCAACAGTTCAACTGACCTCCTGCTACCCTTCACTTACCACTATCGCCAAACAGCCTGAAAGGAAAATCGACATCAGCCCTCAAACTCTTAGTGAGGTTGAAAAATCTATAACTAATCTAAAGTGACACAGAGCAGCAGGTTCAAATGGGTTAGCTCTGGAGATCTCTAAAGATAGTAGTCTAGTTTGCCAGTCAGATCGACTGAGATCATAATTAGAATATGGGAATTAGACATAATCCCATCTGACTGGTCTCGATCGCTGATTGTCCCAGTTTATAAGAAAGCACAGAAATCTCCCTAGTCGTGACCACAAAGGAATCTGTTTGAATAATATAACACCTAATATATTTTCCCCAATAACCAGGGCTCGTGAAGAGAGAAATCGGGACAGTCAGACTCGGTTCAAACCTAGACGTGAACGTAACAACCAAATACCCACCCTTTGTCAAGTCCTGGAACATAAACATACTTCTCGACATCCGACTACAGTGTATTTCTTAACCTTAGACTTTAAGGCAGTTTTCGACCCTGTCGAATGTGGGGTTCTGTGGCAGTGTTTGTCATTAAAAGGCATACCAAAGAAGTACATCAAATTTGTAGAGGTTCTTCACTTCAACACTATTGGTCAAGTTAAAGTTTATCGAGAACTGTCAACCTCAAGTAGTGTTCCTCAGGATTGTGCAGTTTCTCCACTCTTATTTAACTTCGTCATCGATATCCTTTTAAAAATGATACTCTCATAGTCTGACTTTTTAGAGGTCGGTCTTCTACCAGAAGATTCGCTTATTGATTTAGAATACCCAAGTGATATCGTGCTGTTTGGTAAAGACGCTGAAAAAATATTGAGACCACTGTCGCCTTAAGCAATAATGCAAGCATGTTTAAGACGCGATTCTCTCCCTATAAATCAAAATTCTTAATTCAAAACTGGGCTGCGTCAACCTCTGCATTAATGATAAGGAGTGAAGTAGCTGAGCATGTCGATCACTTAATTTATCTTGGACGTCTCATCAGTCCTGATGAATAGGTATTTGATGAAACCACGACACGGAATCAAAAAGTTCGGTCGGCTTTTGTGTCACTCATGGAGTGGGTGAGATATTAGTCTGTCAATCAAAGGACGAGTTTACTAATCAACAATTCACTTGGTTCTACTTTATGGGTGCCAAACATAGCCAATAAGAACAGAGAATGTTCTCAGGTCACTATTATTCGATCATAGGTGAACCGATACACAGCTCATACATTTTTGTCTGCCGAGTGAGCAATACTGAAGTTACGCATAGGATACTAAGTACAGATTGCCAAATCGATTGATCAGGAAGTGAATATTCATCGGCTGAGGTGGTTCGTATATGTCTCGCCTATGCCCAATCACCGCCTAAATCAACGAGCGATATTGTCCAGTGTACAAGTAGACCAGGAGAAAGCTAGGTGGGGCCAAGAGAAGCCATGTCACTAGACCATGAAGCCATTGATAATTAGACTGATTCATATTAATCACTGTAGAATACCTATGTGTGGTCGCGTAATTATCGTAACCAATCGCAAGAGACTATGGATAACAAGCCTGAGAATGGTTCGCAATACCCCAGACACATTCACTCACTACCTTCCCTCAAAACATCATTGATGAATTAACACTTTCAATACCCAATCACTTTTACAAATACAGACAATGTTACTAAATCTACAACTCAACAATTTGTAAAAAAAAATATTAGTATCTAACACCAAATACCCAAAATCATATACCGCAAAAAAACGCAAACGCACGTCGAACATCAATAAACAAACAACCAAAATAACAGATAAACAAATACATACCTTCTGGCATCGCAACATCATCTTCATAACGGTAAGGGATCGGTGACAATGCCTGGAGAGAGGACACTGGTAGCTTCAACATCACCATACCATCATTAGAAGCATCTTTTGCTCCATCTGAAGTAACAACTACAAAACCAACAATCAAACACAGTAAGCATGAACAACACGATACATGGTGATAATATCACTGAAAGACGCATATACATATACATTTCTTTGTTCATCCATATATATATGCACATGCATACATACACACACCTATGTGCTCACATAATAACCTCCATTTTCAACCTGAAATCAATCACACTCTCTAACACACAAACACACGACGGACATCGATAAACAAACAACCACAACGACTGGAAAAAAAACACATACCGTCTGGAATCGCAACATCATCTTCACAACGGTAAGGGATCGGTGATAATCCTTGGAGAGAGGATACCGGTGGCTCCAACATCTCGCTATTATCTCTCGAAACATTCTTCTCTTCATCTAAAACAACACCTACAAAGTTAACAATAAAACACAGTTGGCAAAAATAAGGACATCACAACAGTAACTGCTAAATGAATATGGTGGTTAGGCTTGCATATCGTGGTCACTTAATCGATTTATATGGGCTGTAATACTTGTTCGTTTAGGTATTATCATAACATGCAGGTCGGTTTGGAGAACGGTCAGTATGAAATTAGTAACCTCAGGTCTGAAGGAGAAATCATACTGCTAATTGTACAGTCGTATGATAACAGTAAAGTGTTTTCTTCAGAAAACCAGCATCTACGGCAATGATGCCTTCTCACAGCGAAGGGAAGAAGTTAGAAAATATCGACTCTGAAATGATTTTACAACTTACACCACGGATTTACGTCTTCAGTGCCAAGGCCTTTGGAAGTAGGGAGCTAGGAGATCATAAACCTCTCATAAAAGGGTCATGTTTTACCGACATCAAACTATTGTCCCTTAGCCTCCGTCGCCACACTCCCACGTCTTCATGGCCAACAGGCTGCTCCAACTATGCTCACATAACCGTTTATTTCTAGCAAGCATCAACTCCAATCATAAGGGAAGACATTGTCTGACACTGCGACACCCACAACCGAATGAACAACGGATTCAAATAGATCACAGTGCCACCAGTCATTATTGGAGAGGCTCGATAGTAGACAGCCGATCATTATAGAGCACATGTCTAGACTTTGATCATATCCTAGCGAGAACACATGTTTGTCTGTATCTTACTGAAAACATAAAGGCCATAGCAAGAAGACCCCTTAGAGTTCGACTTAATGGTGAAACAGTCAAGCGTACATTTCAGCAGCAAATAGAAAATCAGTTAAATAACCATGAAAGTGATATCCACTCCAAGGTAGCTTGGTATGATATTTAAACAAATTTATAAACAGCAGTAATATCTACCAGTAAATTAAACTAAAGCGTTGAGAAACGTCAATGGATTTCCGTAGAGTCCACTGAACTGATAGATGCCCAGAAACTCATCCGTCTAACTCCAAACACGATGAGGAGTGAGAGCAGCTTACATGTAGACGGATCAAAAGCCTAAGCAATGATCGTGAGCAGCGGTGGGCAGAGAAAGCAAAAGTGATGGAAAAGGCAGCAGTAGTAGTTAACAGTAGACAACTATTCAGACTTATCAAGCGAACAGGTTTTAATAACCCGGCTGTTAGTGAGACTATCTCAGGACTATTATTCACTCTCAACCCATGAGATTAGACCGATATGCAGAACATTTTAGGCAACAGTTCAACTGACCTCCTGCTACCCTTCACTTACCACTATCGCCAAACAGCCTGAAAGGAAAATCGACATCAGCCCTCAAACTCTTAGTGAGGTTGAAAAATCTATAACTAATCTAAAGTGACACAGAGCAGCAGGTTCAAATGGGTTAGCTCTGGAGATCTCTAAAGATAGTAGTCTAGTTTGCCAGTCAGATCGACTGAGATCATAATTAGAATATGGGAATTAGACATAATCCCATCTGACTGGTCTCGATCGCTGATTGTCCCAGTTTATAAGAAAGCACAGAAATCTCCCTAGTCGTGACCACAAAGGAATCTGTTTGAATAATATAACACCTAATATATTTTCCCCAATAACCAGGGCTCGTGAAGAGAGAAATCGGGACAGTCAGACTCGGTTCAAACCTAGACGTGAACGTAACAACCAAATACCCACCCTTTGTCAAGTCCTGGAACATAAACATACTTCTCGACATCCGACTACAGTGTATTTCTTAACCTTAGACTTTAAGGCAGTTTTCGACCCTGTCGAATGTGGGGTTCTGTGGCAGTGTTTGTCATTAAAAGGCATACCAAAGAAGTACATCAAATTTGTAGAGGTTCTTCACTTCAACACTATTGGTCAAGTTAAAGTTTATCGAGAACTGTCAACCTCAAGTAGTGTTCCTCAGGATTGTGCAGTTTCTCCACTCTTATTTAACTTCGTCATCGATATCCTTTTAAAAATGATACTCTCATAGTCTGACTTTTTAGAGGTCGGTCTTCTACCAGAAGATTCGCTTATTGATTTAGAATACCCAAGTGATATCGTGCTGTTTGGTAAAGACGCTGAAAAAATATTGAGACCACTGTCGCCTTAAGCAATAATGCAAGCATGTTTAAGACGCGATTCTCTCCCTATAAATCAAAATTCTTAATTCAAAACTGGGCTGCGTCAACCTCTGCATTAATGATAAGGAGTGAAGTAGCTGAGCATGTCGATCACTTAATTTATCTTGGACGTCTCATCAGTCCTGATGAATAGGTATTTGATGAAACCACGACACGGAATCAAAAAGTTCGGTCGGCTTTTGTGTCACTCATGGAGTGGGTGAGATATTAGTCTGTCAATCAAAGGACGAGTTTACTAATCAACAATTCACTTGGTTCTACTTTATGGGTGCCAAACATAGCCAATAAGAACAGAGAATGTTCTCAGGTCACTATTATTCGATCATAGGTGAACCGATACACAGCTCATACATTTTTGTCTGCCGAGTGAGCAATACTGAAGTTACGCATAGGATACTAAGTACAGATTGCCAAATCGATTGATCAGGAAGTGAATATTCATCGGCTGAGGTGGTTCGTATATGTCTCGCCTATGCCCAATCACCGCCTAAATCAACGAGCGATATTGTCCAGTGTACAAGTAGACCAGGAGAAAGCTAGGTGGGGCCAAGAGAAGCCATGTCACTAGACCATGAAGCCATTGATAATTAGACTGATTCATATTAATCACTGTAGAATACCTATGTGTGGTCGCGTAATTATCGTAACCAATCGCAAGAGACTATGGATAACAAGCCTGAGAATGGTTCGCAATACCCCAGACACATTCACTCACTACCTTCCCTCAAAACATCATTGATGAATTAACACTTTCAATACCCAATCACTTTTACAAATACAGACAATGTTACTAAATCTACAACTCAACAATTTGTAAAAAAAAATATTAGTATCTAACACCAAATACCCAAAATCATATACCGCAAAAAAACGCAAACGCACGTCGAACATCAATAAACAAACAACCAAAATAACAGATAAACAAATACATACCTTCTGGCATCGCAACATCATCTTCATAACGGTAAGGGATCGGTGACAATGCCTGGAGAGAGGACACTGGTAGCTTCAACATCACCATACCATCATTAGAAGCATCTTTTGCTCCATCTGAAGTAACAACTACAAAACCAACAATCAAACACAGTAAGCATGAACAACACGATACATGGTGATAATATCACTGAAAGACGCATATACATATACATTTCTTTGTTCATCCATATATATATGCACATGCATACATACACACACCTATGTGCTCACATAATAACCTCCATTTTCAACCTGAAATCAATCACACTCTCTAACACACAAACACACGACGGACATCGATAAACAAACAACCACAACGACTGGAAAAAAAACACATACCGTCTGGAATCGCAACATCATCTTCACAACGGTAAGGGATCGGTGATAATCCTTGGAGAGAGGATACCGGTGGCTCCAACATCTCGCTATTATCTCTCGAAACATTCTTCTCTTCATCTAAAACAACACCTACAAAGTTAACAATAAAACACAGTTGGCAAAAATAAGGACATCACAACAGTAACTGCTAAATGAATATGGTGGTTAGGTTTGCATATCGTGGTCACTTAATCGATTTATATGGGCTGTAATACTTGTTCGTTTAGGTATTATCATAACATGCAGGTCGGTTTGGAGAACGGTCAGTATGAAATTAGTAACCTCAGGTCTGATGTAGATATTAAAATGATCTAGCGTTGCGAAGTGTTTTTTTTTGTTTGTTGATATCGAAACGTCGGTTCATGTATTTTTTTATAAATCCTGGCATTCCAAGTTGGTTGTTAGTTTGTTTATTCGTATTGGGTGACTACTTTACTGGGGGGATTTTAATGGTCTCAAATGTACGGTAAATTTGCTAAAAATTTTACTTTGTGGTTATAGAATCCTGTTCGAATTTATTCATTTAATTATAGCAGCTATGTATCGTCAACGTCTTTCGACTTTTTTTCTGTTGAATTTCTTACTGTACGAAACTATGTAAAGGAAACGGAAGTACTCCGTTTTTGTTCTACAATGATTGATGATAGTAGTTCCTTGTCTGAAGGATTTTTCTGCCTTTTAATTAACGTAACACGCTGCTTACAGTAAATATTTAACGTACGTCTGAGTGTTGTATTATTAGTGTTTGTGTGCTTACCTTAAGATCAGTGTTTTACTTCTTTTAAAGCTTTCAAAAATATTTATTAAGTTCTGCATTTTTTGAACTTTGACTCTTGAGTTTAGAAAACTTTCATAGCAATCATTGGAAATTTTTGAGATTTAATGACATGATACTTTTAAAGATTTCTGAAATATTTAGAAATGTGACTTTACTAATTTTTAATCACTTACTATTTTTTCGACGCTTCTTTACTAATTGCCCGGAATCAACAATATCATCTTCTTCTGATTCAAGGAAACAATCTGTGATGATTATGCTAACTGGTTTGATTAAGGGTAAAACAGAATCCACAGTCTCCGGATACAATTTACTATCACTTGAAGCACGAGAATATGTCAGTTGACTTAGCTGGAAAGTATTAATCAATATTTTAATAATCAAAAATATTAAATGACGGACAGCTTGTTTTATAGCTAGCAGCATAAACTATGTCATTCGTCGTGGAGTAGTAACATCCATAAGTAGAAAATCATATGCGTTTCTACAAATACCAAGGCTAAAACGTTTACTTCTATTCTAGACAATATGAGACCTTTTGCAAGTCATTTGAAGTAAATTTGTTCTTATAAAATCGTTTGAACAGATTTTACTAATATCTAGAGTTTGAAGAGATCGTTAAAATTGGTATTAGTTGGGAAACCACTAAAAACTAGGAAGCACTAGACGGATGTGTTAATTTAGTACGAGACTCCTTATCAGAGCCCATAACACGACCCCAACGAAGAAAGATAGCTGTCAATATCGCGTATTGACGAGTAAATAAATGGATGATGGTCAAAGGGACCTGAAGGTCCAAAGCTCGATTCCCGGAGGAGGGTCGTGGATGTTTTTCTTTTGTTATACACCAGATTATTAATTACCTAAAACCACTTTTATTTTACATTGATCAATTCTCTTTTCTTTTTCTACTTTAATTCAATTGATTCTTTTTGTCTAGATTGCGCTTTAATAAAATTTTCATGTTCAATTTATCTTATCATCTCACGTAACTAACTTTTCTAACTATCAGTTTTGTTAGATATTTTAATCAGAATTTTGTCTTATTCTCTGGTTAAAAATAAGTATTTTTACAACTTTGAGAATGAATTCATGAAAAGTTATTTCACAGAAATCTCTTCGTTAAATCATTGTCTACTGTATCAAGATTCTAAACAATAAAAAATAACAAGTATCACAGGGTAACTAATAAAAACGATGACAAATTAAGAATATTACTAACTGGAGTTTTACTTGAAATTCGATGCGCTTCTGTTTTATAATCGTCCTCGAATTCATTTACTTAACAAAAAGTAAAATAATTAATAGTGAGAATAATAATAATAGCAGTGATAATAATAATGAGGAAAGTACTTATCAGTGTATCTTTAATATAACATCAATGAAAGTATACTAATCAAAATTGAGAGATCATTGATTGATTGTATGACAATGACAGCATACAATAATCTGTAATATATTTTACCGAATACAAGACTACATTTTCGGTTTTGAGAAACACTGTTTTTGTGAAGGCATTTCAAATTGAAGTAGAAGTGAGATATAAACCTGGAAAGTTGAACCCCTTACCACTATACCACCGTCTCATATATTCTCATGAAATATTATCCTATATCATTCTTGAGCTATTTGAGTAATAATTGGTAAACATATTATTTATGAAAATCGTATCTAATTATGTTTGAAGATAAATTTATGTCACGAAATGAAATCAACCTCAGAATCAACATGAAAGGCTTAAATAAAACATTAACATTTCAGGCTTTTGATCGATGAAGCATTAGTTACTCAATTTCAGATTTTCATTTATACGCGATTCAATAAATAATAAGGATTTTTCAACCAGTATTATTGAATAATGATGTAAACTTGTAACGGAATACACTATCTTAATACCACAAACATGTTGACAAAATATTCCATTATCTCAACAAAACCATTTATCAGTTAGTTTACCAAGCAGATAAGTTACATTATTAAAAGTTTTTCTAAGTATCGTTTCTTTAATAAGTGTAAAGTGAGAATAAATTACACTAATTATAAGAACAAAAATCAGAATAATAACAGTACACTTTGATAAAAGAAACAGTCACATAATATGAACATAATATGAATATAACCACTAACATATCATAGAAAGTTTATTTGATGTGGAAAAATAGAAAAAAATTTATAAACTAACAATGATTGGAAGAAAGATATGAAAAGTACACAGCAATAAGAGAAAGTCAATGGATTTCACCGAAGAAGTAATGAGAAAAGTCAACTTACATGACATTAAGGCGGAAATCCTATCTTGTTCCCCAAGAAGACGCTTTTTACTCGTAGTACCCTATAAAGTAACATTTTTTCCAATATTTGAAATGATTATTTTTAGAGACAGTAAAAAAAATCTATTTGAGAAAAAGGGGAAACGTTTTCTGTTATATGATATAGCTAATTCGTAAAATCAAACATGCATAATCCACTTCAATTCTAAATGGATAAGAGGCAGCAGTCTAATGCTACTGACAATAACTAAATACTGAACAAACTACTATAGAAAAGCATACATATAATGGTAAAAATGAGCGCTTCCACTAAAATGTAAAAACTACAAAGAAATATGACTAACATCCTAGTAATTTTACATATTCAAATAATTAATGATACCATATACATACATTTCAATTATTTCAGTAGAATGATGATGGGAAAAAGTGCTCGAATACGTTTATTTCAACAGTTTATCAATAAGCAGAATAACTACACATCATCACAACCCATAATTTCGTTTATTGAGCAAGAACAAATTTTTGCACTTGCTATTAGGATGAAACGGCAGGTTTAGTGGTTAAGTTGTTTGACTTTTTAACAATTCACCTACTTCGTTTGTAACAACTGGCAAGTACTATCAGCAGTCTTATGTAGAAAGTGACCCAAAGTAAAATGTCAAGTGAACAAATTAAGTAAAAACTTAACTTTTTTTACATAAAAAACAATAATAATTCACCTTTACAGAGCACAGTTGTTGTACAGCCGATATAGATTGTGGAAAGGTACTGGATAAAGCAGTAACATTTATAGGACGAGAAGGCAGATTAAAATTTACCGTCTTATTTTCAGAAAACGATGGACCTGAAGTAAAAGTCAATAATAAACATAATTTCACACATAACAATCGACCAAAAACAAAGCCATAAAACTGATAGAGCATAAACAGGATGAATTCATTTCAAAGTGTTCTCATCCGCTGCTTAAAACCTAAAGTATTAAAAATCACTATTGTTGCAAAGTTTACATAGTAATAACTGTAAAATTGGATATATATTATCATGGTGAGGTAGTGAGACTGATGACATATAATGAGTGGTGCAAATTAATCTAATATATATGAGAGATTCTGGATCATCAGATATAGTAACAAGAAACCATAGAGATAAAATAATAAATTGATTGTATGGTAAAGTAATTGAATAGAGAAGGGGAAAAAATCAGTAAAGATTTCTAGTTTCCAATTTGCAACACCCATTACATGTCATCAGTCTCACTAATTCACCATAATAATATATACCAAATTTCACAGTTACTACTATGTACATTTTGCAATAATACTGATTTTTAATATTTGGGGTTTAAGCAGCGAATGAGAACCTTAAAAAATAAACTGAATGCATGTTATTCAATTCAACACCTAGTTAGTGATAAACATCACATAAAAAACAGAAAAAAAGAAAAGAAGAGATACCAACAATCATACAACAATAGAAATAACGATGAGCATACCACAAAAAATCAGAAGAATACATATAAACAAACAACACACGAAAATATGAAAACAGGAACAAACCAAACACTACAGAAAAAGTAGAGAAACAAACATCATCGATGAAAACCAAACAACATAAAACACCAAGTCACAAAAAAGAACATCAGAAGAAACAATACAAAAAAAAATCAAAATTATAAGAACAATAACAGCAAACCAAACATCGAAACCACCAAAAGTTCGTCAACCAATTCTAATATATATCAACACACCACCCCCCGTCAATTTCGGATCCATCGCCGTCAACACGCACACAGCTTTAGATTCACCCACTGTCAAAACAGAACACCCTGAAACGGTGCTCGCATCTCCGTTCATTGATCCTAAAACATTACAACCCATAATCAATATCAATAAAACAAGTCGTTCCTAACAAATAACACTCAACTCAACATCTACGAAAATATCTCAAAATTACCTTTCTCAACTATGGGCTCTGCTAACACAGACTCGCTCAATCTCAATGGGGAAAACGATTCTGAAAGTATACAAAAACAATTACACAAAATGTTAAATGCTCATCATCACATCGATAACAAACACTCCACTGTCACATTCACAGTAACATTGAATATAATCATCAACGCAAGCACCAATATGACAAGCGAAACACAACACCCACATTATCACATAGACAAATATCCTAAACAAAACAAATATCGACTTTCTTATTCAACCCTCCACCACATAAACACTGACTACTCACATCCACCAACCACATAGAAACTCAATATCACACTTACCACCACTCCCCACATTCCCTCTGACCGTGCCTCTTCTCCCACGCCGTCTACCCACCATCATCTACAATAGAAACAACAATAACAGAAACAATATTAATCGTAATCATAATCATAGCCACACCAACAACAGGTACAACGCACTAGCTTCCCTCCTACACCACCACCACCACCACCACCACCACTACCATCAACGGAAATACAACAGAAACACACAACTATTCCCATATAAATTGAACACTGAAAGCTTCACTAAAACCAAACTCACCGGGACAACCGCACCCACAGGCTCCACTGTTCCACCTAAAATTAAAAACACACAAGTTAATACTCTACAAATATTCAACAAAACACAATATTATACTTTCACCAAAACCACAGTGGTTCACCTCATCCAATAAAACAGTGCTCCACGTCGCCACACACATTCACTTCACGTACCACTTACTTACTTACTTACTTACTTACTTACCTACTCACTCACTCACTCATTCACTCACTCACTCACACACTCACTCACTCACTCACCACCACAACTCACACAATAAAAACACACAAATTAAACCCGATCAACACAATTACACTCACCATTCCATGCAATTACATACAACCATGAATCTATCCGCTTAACGATCTAACACTACCAAGTCACAATTGTCGAACCTCGGACCGGTCACTCAATTCAATCATGTACATCATAACGGAAATTCTTACACAATCTAGCTGTTCTCTCGTCGGAAAACAACACACTCGTCTTCGCACATCACTAAACACTTATCACAACTACAAAACATCGTAGCTACCACTCTACGAAACAACTCGTCAAACAAACAAACAAACAAACACACACACAAACACACAAAATATCTCCATGTGACCAAACAAATACTCAAAAGCAACATAACTATCACAATACCCAACACAACATCAATACTCATGAATCACGTCCCACACTAACAACAACAACAACAACAACAACAACAACAACCCACACTACCAAACGATTTGACAACAAATAAAGTGTCAAAAATCAACAATTACCTCTGTCAGGAGAACTGATCGATCGAGAAGAAACTAGTGAATTCAAATCGCCATTCATTGACATCGATTTCTCTGAAAAAAATTCACCGATTAACAAACACACATCAGTTGAGTCTGATACTATCACGTCGAAACAATGAAAGTTTACTAAGGAAAGTTTCGGATGCACATTTTCTACAAATAGCATCCAAAACATAAATATACAACTTCAACTCCTAACACAAACACACCAAACTCATCAAAACCAATATGTACACTTCTGCACAACCACATAAAACTCCATACATGTTTCAATGCACTCACCTTCTTCATCACCCTCCGTCAATTTCGGATCCATCGCCGTCAACACGCACACAGCTTTAGATTCACCCACTGTCAAAACAGAACACCCTGAAACGGTGCTCGCATCTCCGTTCATTGATCCTAAAACATTACAACCCATAATCAATATCAATAAAACAAGTCGTTCCTAACAAATAACACTCAACTCAACATCTACGAAAATATCTCAAAATTACCTTTCTCAACTATGGGCTCTGCTAACACAGACTCGCTCAATCTCAATGGGGAAAACGATTCTGAAAGTATACAAAAACAATTACACAAAATGTTAAATGCTCATCATCACATCGATAACAAACACTCCACTGTCACATTCACAGTAACATTGAATATAATCATCAACGCAAGCACCAATATGACAAGCGAAACACAACACCCACATTATCACATAGACAAATATCCTAAACAAAACAAATATCGACTTTCTTATTCAACCCTCCACCACATAAACACTGACTACTCACATCCACCAACCACATAGAAACTCAATATCACACTTACCACCACTCCCCACATTCCCTCTGACCGTGCCTCTTCTCCCACGCCGTCTACCCACCATCATCTACAATAGAAACAACAATAACAGAAACAATATTAATCGTAATCATAATCATAGCCACACCAACAACAGGTACAACGCACTAGCTTCCCTCCTACACCACCACCACCACCACCACCACTACCATCAACGGAAATACAACAGAAACACACAACTATTCCCATATAAATTGAACACTGAAAGCTTCACTAAAACCAAACTCACCGGGACAACCGCACCCACAGGCTCCACTGTTCCACCTAAAATTAAAAACACACAAGTTAATACTCTACAAATATTCAACAAAACACAATATTATACTTTCACCAAAACCACAGTGGTTCACCTCATCCAATAAAACAGTGCTCCACGTCGCCACACACATTCACTTCACGTACCACTTACTTACTTACTTACTTACTTACCTACTCACTCACTCACTCATTCACTCACTCACTCACACACTCACTCACTCACTCACCACCACAACTCACACAATAAAAACACACAAATTAAACCCGATCAACACAATTACACTCACCATTCCATGCAATTACATACAACCATGAATCTATCCGCTTAACGATCTAACACTACCAAGTCACAATTGTCGAACCTCGGACCGGTCACTCAATTCAATCATGTACATCATAACGGAAATTCTTACACAATCTAGCTGTTCTCTCGTCGGAAAACAACACACTCGTCTTCGCACATCACTAAACACTTATCACAACTACAAAACATCGTAGCTACCACTCTACGAAACAACTCGTCAAACAAACAAACAAACAAACACACACACAAACACACAAAATATCTCCATGTGACCAAACAAATACTCAAAAGCAACATAACTATCACAATACCCAACACAACATCAATACTCATGAATCACGTCCCACACTAACAACAACAACAACAACAACAACAACAACCCACACTACCAAACGATTTGACAACAAATAAAGTGTCAAAAATCAACAATTACCTCTGTCAGGAGAACTGATCGATCGAGAAGAAACTAGTGAATTCAAATCGCCATTCATTGACATCGATTTCTCTGAAAAAAATTCACCGATTAACAAACACACATCAGTTGAGTCTGATACTATCACGTCGAAACAATGAAAGGTTACTAAGGAAAGTTTCGGATGCACATTTTCTACAAATAGCATCCAAAACATAAATATACAACTTCAACTCCTAACACAAACACACCAAACTCATCAAAACCAATATGTACACTTCTGCACAACCACATAAAACTCCATACATGTTTCAATGCACTCACCTTCTTCATCACCCTCCGTCAATTTCGGATCCATCGCCGTCAACACGCACACAGCTTTAGATTCACCCACTGTCAAAACAGAACACCCTGAAACGGTGCTCGCATCTCCGTTCATTGATCCTAAAACAATACAACCCATAATCAATATCAATAAAACAAGTCGTTCCTAACAAATAACACTCAACTCAACATCTACGAAAATATCTCAAAATTACCTTTCTCAACTATGGGCTCTGCTAACACAGACTCGCTCAATCTCAATGGGGAAAACGATTCTGAAAGTATACAAAAACAATTACACAAAATGTTAAATGCTCATCATCACATCGATAACAAACACTCCACTGTCACATTCACAGTAACATTGAATATAATCATCAACGCAAGCACCAATATGACAAGCGAAACACAACACCCACATTATCACATAGACAAATATCCTAAACAAAACAAATATCGACTTTCTTATTCAACCCTCCACCACATAAACACTGACTACTCACATCCACCAACCACATAGAAACTCAATATCACACTTACCACCACTCCCCACATTCCCTCTGACCGTGCCTCTTCTCCCACGCCGTCTACCCACCATCATCTACAATAGAAACAACAATAACAGAAACAATATTAATCGTAATCATAATCATAGCCACACCAACAACAGGTACAACGCACTAGCTTCCCTCCTACACCACCACCACCACCACCACCACCACTACCATCAACGGAAATACAACAGAAACACACAACTATTCCCATATAAATTGAACACTGAAAGCTTCACTAAAACCAAACTCACCGGGACAACCGCACCCACAGGCTCCACTGTTCCACCTAAAATTAAAAACACACAAGTTAATACTCTACAAATATTCAACAAAACACAATATTATACTTTCACCAAAACCACAGTGGTTCACCTCATCCAATAAAACAGTGCTCCACGTCGCCACACACATTCACTTCACGTACCACTTACTTACTTACTTACTTACTTACCTACTCACTCACTCACTCATTCACTCACTCACTCACTCACACACTCACTCACTCACTCACCACCACAACTCACACAATAAAAACACACAAATTAAACCCGATCAACACAATTACACTCACCATTCCATGCAATTACATACAACCATGAATCTATCCGCTTAACGATCTAACACTACCAAGTCACAATTGTCGAACCTCGGACCGGTCACTCAATTCAATCATGTACATCATAACGGAAATTCTTACACAATCTAGCTGTTCTCTCGTCGGAAAACAACACACTCGTCTTCGCACATCACTAAACACTTATCACAACTACAAAACATCGTAGCTACCACTCTACGAAACAACTCGTCAAACAAACAAACAAACAAACACACACACAAACACACAAAATATCTCCATGTGACCAAACAAATACTCAAAAGCAACATAACTATCACAATACCCAACACAACATCAATACTCATGAATCACGTCCCACACTAACAACAACAACAACAACAACAACAACAACCCACACTACCAAACGATTTGACAACAAATAAAGTGTCAAAAATCAACAATTACCTCTGTCAGGAGAACTGATCGATCGAGAAGAAACTAGTGAATTCAAATCGCCATTCATTGACATCGATTTCTCTGAAAAAAATTCACCGATTAACAAACACACATCAGTTGAGTCTGATACTATCACGTCGAAACAATGAAAGGTTACTAAGGAAAGTTTCGGATGCACATTTTCTACAAATAGCATCCAAAACATAAATATACAACTTCAACTCCTAACACAAACACACCAAACTCATCAAAACCAATATGTACACTTCTGCACAACCACATAAAACTCCATACATGTTTCAATGCACTCACCTTCTTCATCACCCTCCGTCAATTTCGGATCCATCGCCGTCAACACGCACACAGCTTTAGATTCACCCACTGTCAAAACAGAACACCCTGAAACGGTGCTCGCATCTCCGTTCATTGATCCTAAAACAATACAACCCATAATCAATATCAATAAAACAAGTCGTTCCTAACAAATAACACTCAACTCAACATCTACGAAAATATCTCAAAATTACCTTTCTCAACTATGGGCTCTGCTAACACAGACTCGCTCAATCTCAATGGGGAAAACGATTCTGAAAGTATACAAAAACAATTACACAAAATGTTAAATGCTCATCATCACATCGATAACAAACACTCCACTGTCACATTCACAGTAACATTGAATATAATCATCAACGCAAGCACCAATATGACAAGCGAAACACAACACCCACATTATCACATAGACAAATATCCTAAACAAAACAAATATCGACTTTCTTATTCAACCCTCCACCACATAAACACTGACTACTCACATCCACCAACCACATAGAAACTCAATATCACACTTACCACCACTCCCCACATTCCCTCTGACCGTGCCTCTTCTCCCACGCCGTCTACCCACCATCATCTACAATAGAAACAACAATAACAGAAACAATATTAATCGTAATCATAATCATAGCCACACCAACAACAGGTACAACGCACTAGCTTCCCTCCTACACCACCACCACCACCACCACCACCACTACCATCAACGGAAATACAACAGAAACACACAACTATTCCCATATAAATTGAACACTGAAAGCTTCACTAAAACCAAACTCACCGGGACAACCGCACCCACAGGCTCCACTGTTCCACCTAAAATTAAAAACACACAAGTTAATACTCTACAAATATTCAACAAAACACAATATTATACTTTCACCAAAACCACAGTGGTTCACCTCATCCAATAAAACAGTGCTCCACGTCGCCACACACATTCACTTCACGTACCACTTACTTACTTACTTACTTACTTACCTACTCACTCACTCACTCATTCACTCACTCACTCACTCACTCACTCACTCACTCACTCACCACCACAACTCACACAATAAAAACACACAAATTAAACCCGATCAACACAATTACACTCACCATTCCATGCAATTACATACAACCATGAATCTATCCGCTTAACGATCTAACACTACCAAGTCACAATTGTCGAACCTCGGACCGGTCACTCAATTCAATCATGTACATCATAACGGAAATTCTTACACAATCTAGCTGTTCTCTCGTCGGAAAACAACACACTCGTCTTCGCACATCACTAAACACTTATCACAACTACAAAACATCGTAGCTACCACTCTACGAAACAACTCGTCAAACAAACAAACAAACAAACACACACACAAACACACAAAATATCTCCATGTGACCAAACAAATACTCAAAAGCAACATAACTATCACAATACCCAACACAACATCAATACTCATGAATCACGTCCCACACTAACAACAACAACAACAACAACAACAACAACCCACACTACCAAACGATTTGACAACAAATAAAGTGTCAAAAATCAACAATTACCTCTGTCAGGAGAACTGATCGATCGAGAAGAAACTAGTGAATTCAAATCGCCATTCATTGACATCGATTTCTCTGAAAAAAATTCACCGATTAACAAACACACATCAGTTGAGTCTGATACTATCACGTCGAAACAATGAAAGGTTACTAAGGAAAGTTTCGGATGCACATTTTCTACAAATAGCATCCAAAACATAAATATACAACTTCAACTCCTAACACAAACACACCAAACTCATCAAAACCAATATGTACACTTCTGCACAACCACATAAAACTCCATACATGTTTCAATGCACTCACCTTCTTCATCACCCTCCGTCAATTTCGGATCCATCGCCGTCAACACGCACACAGCTTTAGATTCACCCACTGTCAAAACAGAACACCCTGAAACGGTGCTCGCATCTCCGTTCATTGATCCTAAAACATACAACCCATAATCAATATCAATAAAACAAGTCGTTCCTAACAAATAACACTCAACTCAACATCTACGAAAATATCTCAAAATTACCTTTCTCAACTATGGGCTCTGCTAACACAGACTCGCTCAATCTCAATGGGGAAAACGATTCTGAAAGTATACAAAAACAATTACACAAAATGTTAAATGCTCATCATCACATCGATAACAAACACTCCACTGTCACATTCACAGTAACATTGAATATAATCATCAACGCAAGCACCAATATGACAAGCGAAACACAACACCCACATTATCACATAGACAAATATCCTAAACAAAACAAATATCGACTTTCTTATTCAACCCTCCACCACATAAACACTGACTACTCACATCCACCAACCACATAGAAACTCAATATCACACTTACCACCACTCCCCACATTCCCTCTGACCGTGCCTCTTCTCCCACGCCGTCTACCCACCATCATCTACAATAGAAACAACAATAACAGAAACAATATTAATCGTAATCATAATCATAGCCACACCAACAACAGGTACAACGCACTAGCTTCCCTCCTACACCACCACCACCACCACCACCACCACCACCACTACCATCAACGGAAATACAACAGAAACACACAACTATTCCCATATAAATTGAACACTGAAAGCTTCACTAAAACCAAACTCACCGGGACAACCGCACCCACAGGCTCCACTGTTCCACCTAAAATTAAAAACACACAAGTTAATACTCTACAAATATTCAACAAAACACAATATTATACTTTCACCAAAACCACAGTGGTTCACCTCATCCAATAAAACAGTGCTCCACGTCGCCACACACATTCACTTCACGTACCACTTACTTACTTACTTACTTACTTACCTACTCACTCACTCACTCACTCACTCACTCACTCACTCACTCACTCACTCACTCACTCACCACCACAACTCACACAATAAAAACACACAAATTAAACCCGATCAACACAATTACACTCACCATTCCATGCAATTACATACAACCATGAATCTATCCGCTTAACGATCTAACACTACCAAGTCACAATTGTCGAACCTCGGACCGGTCACTCAATTCAATCATGTACATCATAACGGAAATTCTTACACAATCTAGCTGTTCTCTCGTCGGAAAACAACACACTCGTCTTCGCACATCACTAAACACTTATCACAACTACAAAACATCGTAGCTACCACTCTACGAAACAACTCGTCAAACAAACAAACAAACACACACACACAAACACACAAAATATCTCCATGTGACCAAACAAATACTCAAAAGCAACATAACTATCACAATACCCAACACAACATCAATACTCATGAATCACGTCCCACACTAACAACAACAACAACAACAACAACAACAACCCACACTACCAAACGATTTGACAACAAATAAAGTGTCAAAAATCAACAATTACCTCTGTCAGGAGAACTGATCGATCGAGAAGAAACTAGTGAATTCAAATCGCCATTCATTGACATCGATTTCTCTGAAAAAAATTCACCGATTAACAAACACACATCAGTTGAGTCTGATACTATCACGTCGAAACAATGAAAGTTACTAAGGAAAGTTTCGGATGCACATTTTCTACAAATAGCATCCAAAACATAAATATACAACTTCAACTCCTAACACAAACACACCAAACTCATCAAAACCAATATGTACACTTCTGCACAACCACATAAAACTCCATACATGTTTCAATGCACTCACCTTCTTCATCACCCTCCGTCAATTTCGGATCCATCGCCGTCAACACGCACACAGCTTTAGATTCACCCACTGTCAAAACAGAACACCCTGAAACGGTGCTCGCATCTCCGTTCACTGATCCTAAAACAATACAACCCATAATCAATATCAATAAAACAAGTCGTTCCTAACTGTTATGACTTTAAATTGTGAGACTGCAGGGTTTGATACGCAGCGTTTATATCGATCGGTTACAGTGACGCGTAAAACACGTACGGACGACCTAGAGTCTCTATTGGTCTCGCTTCCCTGTCTAGCCCAGTTAGTTGAGTCCAGAACACAAGTCACAACCCTCTGAGATATGAATCACTATATTTCAAACATACTTTGTTTATATACTAGTCAAGCATACCACAGCGTACCATAAAAATAGAAAACAACATTTTGTACAATATTCAACAAGTGAACAGATATCGACCAATAGGAAATGTCCATTTAAAGTCCAAGGACACCATTGGACTTAACATGATAATTATTGGTCTATTCCTGCGCATCCACAACACCTCCCCTTTTTTTTGAAGATCCGGAGTTGATATCCGGATTTTGAAATTTTCTGGGTTCATCCTCCCCCACGAAATAATGTTGGGTCCTCATATTCCCAAGTTAGAATTAATTTGACTTTATTTAACACATAATTGTCAGATTGAACAGGGGAGTCACTGAAAGTGATTAAATAGTGGGGAACAATGTCGCTTGATATGAGGTCACCAACGTTTGATTCTTCTGGAACATTGTCACGGGATTTGTTGAAAATCTCATTTGTAAACAGTTGATCACTGCGATAATCAACATCTATCAAAATTGTATTAGATTTCTGATCATCATTTAATGCATTTAACACATTTTCTGGTACAAAAAGATCTAGATAATAAGATTCGTCAGAATCTCCTGTTGTTGAATGATGAGGACCATTTGAAACAGCTGGATTCAGTGTACCGCACGATTTGTTCCCTGTTCCGTTGTGGGCGGGTACTGCAATTAATTTATGAGCATTTAATAAGAGATCCTCCTGTGAGCTGGGTACATCACTGTCTGTACACGTTTCAGGAACAGTGGGATTTGAACCCACGACAGGGAACGTTTCGGAATTTGACATTTCTGGACAACTGGGCGGACCATGAATAACTGTCTCGTTTACATCACTGGTCGTCCGGGATTCACAGAGGCTTTTATAAACAGCTTCATATGTTCTGCAGTTGTTTTCCAGCTCAGTCTGCAGATGAGAAATGAATTTACCAACTTCTGTTGCACCTCCGAAACATGGAACATTTACCAACAGTGTGCGTAAATTTTCTAAAAAATTTAACTGGCTATTTTTGAAGCACTGCTGTTGTTGCTCAAGTAGAAGCTGTAATCGATCGGAAAAGGTAGTCATTTTTTTTTCAGCACCTGCAATGAAAATTAACTGTAGGAATAATGACCAATGTTGCTCAAGGACGCTGGTGACAATCTGGATGCTGATTGGTCGAAACAATTAACCTGAATCTCGTCCAATTACAAGGTTCAAAATTTTTCTCCACCCCGTCGCCAATTGTTATGACTTTAAGTTGTGGACTGCAGGGTTTGATAAGCAGCGTTTATATCGATCGGTTACAGTGACACGGAAAACACGTACGGACGGCCTAGAGTCTCTATTGGTCTCGCTTCCCTGTCTAGCCCAGTTAGTTGAGTCCAGAACACAAGTCACACCCTCTGAGATATGAATCACTATATTTCAAACATACTTTGTTTATATACTAGTCAAGCATACCACAGCGTACCATAAAAATAGAAAACAACATTTTGTACAATATTCAACAAGTGAACAGATATCGACAAATAGAAAATACCCATTTAAAGTCCAAGGACACCATTGGACTTAACATGATAATTATTGGTCTATTCCTGCGCATCCACAACACTAACAAATAACACTCAACTCAACATCTACGAAAATATCTCAAAATTACTTTCTCAACTATGGGCTCTGCTAACACAGACTCGCTCAATCTCAATGGGGAAAACGATTCTGAAAGTATACAAAAACAATTACACAAAATGTTAAATGCTCATCATCACATCGATAACAAACACTCCACTGTCACATTCACAGTAACATTGAATATAATCATCAACGCAAGCACCAATATGACAAGCGAAACACAACACCCACATTATCACATAGACAAATATCCTAAACAAAACAAATATCGACTTTCTTATTCAACCCTCCACCACATAAACACTGACTACTCACATCCACCAACCACATAGAAACTCAATATCACACTTACCACCACTCCCCACATTCCCTCTGACCGTGCCTCTTCTCCCACGCGTCTACCCACCATCATCTACAATAGAAACAACAATAACAGAAACAATATTAATCGTAATCATAATCATAGCCACACCAACAACAGGTACAACGCACTAGCTTCCCTCCTACACCACCACCACCACTACCATCAACGGAAATACAACAGAAACACACAACTATTCCCATATAAATTGAACACTGAAAGCTTCACTAAAACCAAACTCACCGGGACAACCGCACCCACAGGCTCCACTGTTCCACCTAAAATTAAAAACACACAAGTTAATACTCTACAAATATTCAGCAAAACACAATATTATACTTTCACCAAAACCACAGTGGTTCACCTCATCCAATAAGACAGTGCTCCACGTCGCCACACACATTCATCCACACATTCGTTAGTTTAATTTTAGAAACGTGTAGTTGTTCCACCGATAAGTTTTCTGTGTTCATATAGTTGTTTTTCTGGTTGTTGTTTTTTTAGTTACGCAATTTTTTCTGGTCAAATGCGTGAAGGGATGTTTTATCAAGGAATTAGAATGTGCATTTATTAGCATTACTTTAAATCGAAAATTTAGTTATAAGCCTATGTTTTGTATCTATGTCTCCTAAAGCAATTTATTTGAATTTAAGTCGTCAAAAGATGATCGTTTTTTCTAACAACTTTTTCATTTCAATCTAGAATGCAAGCTGTTGTTTAGAAATACAAATCCATTTTTTTTATCAATGATATATTTATGAGAAATGAAAGTCATTTATCTTTTTTATCAAATATTGTCGCTTGGTATCGCTGTCTGCTTCTAGGTTATTATGAAATGGCAGTTTTAATTTATTTCATAGGTGTTAAATTATCTTTTATCCGATGTTATTCAGAAACGTAGGTTTTATCTCAAAAAGTTAAACTCATTCCTGTAGTTCATCTGTCGTACGATCGTCGGATAATGAGATCCTACTACCATTAACTCAGTTTTTTATTTCCATCACTGTTCAATAAATGATTTGTGTATACTAAAACATCTTCATTACAACTCTACCTAGTTGAGTAATTTAATAATATTAGACATTATTGACGTACTTGGCTACAAAGATATTGAGTAAATTCTTATAAACTCACCTATAGTATAGATAGGTGTTAGATGTAGACTTTGAAATGAAGCAATCAGTTCCCTTAATTGAGAATTAAGTATAATATAATTTTCAAGTCTTAATACTTTCAAATAAATTGAGCGTTAGATATATTTTTCATATTAAATAAGCAATATACTGTGATAAACTAATCAGTGGTGAAACTTGATTTCTGACATTTTGCAACATAATGCAAGTGGCTTTTACAAATAATAAATAACCACTTTATGTAATTAACTGTTCAATTACTTGTAGGAAAAATATCAGGAACACAAAAAAATTTACTTTCAATACTTGACGTTTGAAGTAATCCTGATTGATCTAACCGAAGTGGTGAAATGGATGCTGAAAAAAAAACAAGAACTCTAATTCAGTAGTATAGATGAACGTATCTAAATACATGACAGATAAGTTGTTTGGCGTTTTGATGATTCGATAAAACAGGAAATTAGTTGGACAATGAATAAAATGCATTAAAACAAGCTACGAAAACTTGAAAAACAGACTTACAACAATTCAACAAATTTTGCTTCCCACGTCTTCGTCGACCTCGGAGTTTACGAACAGCCACCTAAGCACCACATTGAGAAAAAGTTTTTAAAAGGAAATTGGAAACATTTAAATCAGGCTTGAAAACATACTCTAGTTACTCCATATAGTTTACCTACAGGCCAACTATTGTACATTCAGTCAGCTACAACGTAGGACCAGGCACATATGTGCATCCGTCCAAGTTGCCACACCTCATTAGCACAAGATGAACACCAAATTCATAGAAGTAGTTGCTTCAATGGTAATAAAAAAATAGTGGGGAAAGAACTAATTAGTAGAAAGGAAGGTATGAAGTAATTTTAATCTCACGGTTTAAGTGAAAACAGAGTGTATACACCTACACCATTGTGATCGATTCTCAGTCATGTCACCCAGAGTCTCCAACCATTGGTTACAATAGTCGCACGGACCACAACCAGGTAGTCTGCATCTACCAACATGGCTCAGACTAGAAGTTAGTGATTTCAAGCACTGATGCCACGTTTTGGTTTGGCCACCCCTAACTTTCTTCCGACTGTCTCCAACACTTGTCAGCATTGCGCGTCGTGGTAATCGGTGTTCAGGCATGCGTAACACGTGACCCAACCGTCTCAGTCGATGAAGATTCACAATCTCATCAATTGATTTACCATCATTTCCTAATACCCTGTGTCTAACCTCACTATTACTTACCCGTTGGTTCCAGTAGATGCGAGCAATATTTCTAAGGCATCTGTGGTCAGATACTAGTAGCTTACGAATATCTTCAACTCTTAATGACCACGTTTCGCAGCTTTAAAGTAAAACAGAACGAACTGCTGTGCAGTACACCCTTCCTTTAATTGATAGATGGATATTTCACCTTCGCCATAGGTGATGTAAGTTGGTAAAAGCCAAACGAGCTTTCTGGATCCGTGGAGAGATTTCGTTAAACGCCAACCCATTAAGGTTGATCAGACTTCCAAGATAAACGAAGTTGCAGACACATCCGACAACTTCATTCCTTACCCTTGGTCCAGGTGTTGACGCAGGCCAGTCCTAAAGCAACAATTTGCATTTAGAGGGAGAGAAACGCATCCTGATATTGTTTCTCAGTGTTACCAAAAGACTCTGCATTTTATCAGCGTCTTCACCAAACAGGACTATGTCATCTGAGTATTCTAAGTTAATAGGTGGACCTCCTGGTAGATCAATGCCCAAAAATTCAGATGACGAGAACGTTATTTCCAGCCGTAGGTCTATGGTGGAATTGAACAAAAATGGAGATAATAGACAGCCTTTCCGGACACTACATGCGGTTACAAAGTCAGATGATAGTTCGCCATCAGCTCTGACTCGACTGGCAGTGTTCGAGTAAAGAGCCTTCACAAGGTTTATGTACTTCTAAGGTACTCCTCTTAATGACAGACACTGCCACAGAAAAACCATAATTACCGGACGCCGATAAGTATGCCTGTGTTCTGAGATCTGACGAATGGAGAATATGTGGTCGATGCAGTCACAACCAGGTTCAAAGTTAGATGATCGTTGCCATTACCTTGACATGGTGGTCGGGCTTGCCTATCGTGACGAACCAATCGGGCTATACTGGATGGAACTATCGTTTTTCAAAGTCCTGCCATGTCAGATAGGTAGATTGAGAAACGGTAAAACTATGACCAGCAAACCCAAGGTCCGAGGGCGAAGTCGTATTGCTGACTGTACATAGATGTGACGGCAGTAAGGTATTTCCCTCACACAACCAGCATAACAGCGATGCTGCCTTCCCATAAAAGAAGGGTGGAGTTAGAAAAGGTCAACCCTAAAAATGTACACTTCACCTTATTACACAGATTTCCGCCTCCAACGGTTAGGCATCAACAGTTACGGAGTTAACACAAAAATGTATGTAACCGGCCTCGAGAGTTTGTACCATGGTCACTGCGGTCAAGCTCTCAGGTCACTAAGACCAACTCTAATCCGACTTCCTTTTCAAGTACCCCTAGACTATTGTACATTCAAAAATGATGTATCAAACTCATCTTTAGGGGCTAGTAAATTCCACTTAATTAGGATCTGATAAAATTTGCATTCCCTATAAACGTGGGTTGATAAATGACAACGGAGACGGGATGATATAAATTTATTTTGTTTCAGGAAATAACAGGTCAAGAGAAGTCTAAACAAAGATTAAATATAGTACACGATTTCTGCACAAAGTCACAAGCCTAGAAATAAATGAAGTTTATGTGGTGAAAGGTTGTTATTTGACGTCTATGAAGTTACATCGTAGTAAAAATTCGTTCCATAAGCAATTCAAACATTAATTTTGAACATGGATAACCTTAATAATCACCTAATTCTATGCTGAGTAATGTGGCGTGACGAAACCAAAAGCTGGTAAAGTAAGCAACTCAAAGGTCAGCAAACCAAAATAATACCTTACCCTAACCCTATCAAAATAGATAACCAACACCCATAGTTTATGAGCTGAAACGTGAAGCTTCACATAGAGATATCTCGAGCAGATAAATTGCTATTGTCGTATGCTAATAAATTTTGACAAAATGTATCATGGTAAGAACAAATAAAAGCAGAAATTGTGGTTTTCGGCCTACTCAAAAACAATTACAACACAAAAGGATATCATATTTTTGAAGGCACGCAATAAATGAAGACGTTAGTTAGGAATACTTAATTAAATACATTAAAATAGCAGACAAAAATCCTCGGTAGCTGCATGCCACTATACACTTACAGGATGTGCATCAGGTGATAAAAAAGATTCTGGAAGAAAAAATGGAAAGTCATAAAATATTTAAGATTTTATACAATAAGCAAAAAGCATTATTATTACTTTATTGTTTAAACACATAAACGTAGGTATAAGGAGGCACCAAATAGATATGCGCCACATAAATCATTAGATTTGTGTGGGGGCCGGGATACTACCCGGGTGCCCAAACCAAAGAGTATGGTTTTCTTAGGGTACCACTCCCCGAGCCTTTGACTTAACGGTCTAATCCACGAGGCAGTGGAGCAACGTAAGGAGATGCAATCCCATGGCAGACGGTGACTAATAATTTCTTTGTACGCCACTTGTTACCTCAGGATCCTGGAGCACATGTGCACTATTGGTTTGGAATCAAAGTTTTCCAACTTCCCTGGGTAGATCTGCCGTATCCACCGACCCGGTCAAAGCCCCCAAATGCCCTGGTAAGGCCGAGAGTGTAGAGAGTCCGCTCTCCCTCTCGAAATTCTCTCACATGGCCACGCGTATATAGCCTCTGCCAGGGAAGTCCTACTCACTGCCTTCTCGTGACGGGGGTGTTGTTTACGAAAATGAGAGGACGAAAAGCGAATGTCCGATGCTTTAACCGGATTCCAAACCAATGGTGCACATGTACTACAGTGTCCTGAGGGAACAAATGGCGTATGAACCAATCGTTGGCCACCGGCTTCCATGGGAATGCATCTCCTTACGATGCTCCACTGCCTTGTGGATCAAACCTTCAGGTCGAAGGCTCGGGAGTGGACTCCTAAGCAAACGACCTGCTTCGGTTAGGGCACCCGGCAGTATTACAGCCCTCACACATATCGAATGATATTTGTGTGGTGCATATGTATTTGGTGCCTCTTTGTACCAATATCTATGTGTTGAAATAAATAAATAAATCTCAATTTCGTAAACGACACCCACGCCGCGAGAAGGCAGTGAGTAGGACTTCCTTCACAGTGGTTGTATGCACGTAGCCGTGTGAGAGCATTCCGAGATGGAGAGCTGACTCTCCCCACTCTCGACCATACCAGGGCACTTGAGGGCATCAGCGATCAATCATTTCATAGCTACATGCATGTTTCTTTCCATTATTTATTTGTTTTACCCCATACTGAGACTAATGATTTAAACAGTCCTGCCCACAAATGTATGAAATTTTAATGAATAACTTTGAGTTTTCATGTGTAGAGCTATCTAGGATTATATGATAGATGAAAACGTATAATGAATAACGTACCCAGTGTTATTCACTTTAATTCTTATTCAATTAACAAGCTGTGGGTTGTTCATTAAAGTCTTACCCAGGAATTTAAATTAGCGTCAATAAGATTCGACCTAACCGAGCCCCTGCTTGTGAATAGGTTGATTAAAGCATCGAATCACATTCCCACTAAATCATACACAATTATAAAACAACGTAACTACTACGTTTACGATAAAGATGCCAGTCAGGTTAACGAACAGTTATTGGTAAAATTAGGTTTTAAATTGAGATTCGTAGACCGTTGATCTAACCTCACCATCAAGTAAGTGCAACAAAATTTTATTAATTTTTCCTTTAAAAATAATACCAGTTGTGATGGAGAAACTATTGGATTTTGGAAAACGTGAAGTCAAAGGGAAAAACCAAGTTATAGCTTACTACGTACAAGTCAGTAAGCGGTATGAAATGTTGATCAATAGATACACTCATATGTCTTTCCTAACTAAGAGATATTTGTGAATTGATTTCATTACCTGAACCTAGACTAGGTAACACCGTAAATCCACCATGGTTAGAATTATTCTATTATCAGATGTAACAATTCAAATAACAAACGGGACCGCGAGATGATAGCAACCGATGGTTAGAGACCCTGAATGACATGGCTCAAAATCGTTTGCAATGGCGCAGGTGCATACACTCTTTGTGTTCTCCCGAATTCTAATCTCCTGATTCTTCCTTGTCTCTTTTTCCTCCTCCCAAATTTATTTCACTGGATTATACTCTTTAAATAACATCTCCAAACCCTAATCTTCCTGACTACTGCTTATACTCTTACTACCTCTACCACTGCGGGATTTGAATCGACAACTGGATCTCTGTGCTAATGTGGTATGGCAAATCGAACTGATGTACGTACGTACGAAGTTCTACGTTGTTACTGACTGACTGACATTAAGTCGCGTATCACATTTAACCATTTGATTTCTCAACTCAGTGAATAACTGGGTACGAACGAACAAAATAACTATAAAATGTCCATATATAAAAGATACATACCCGCTAACATTGGTCGGTCCTCATGGTTAAGATGAAAACTTGGCTTGCTGGGTGGGAGGACAAGTCTAGAATTTGACGCAACACTTTTTTCGCCGTCCATAATAACTGGTGAGCATGTTTTGCTGCTTGGGATGTCTGAAGTATGTAGTGACTGAAAGCAAGAATCAATTTTCTTCCTATCGAAAACATGTGTAAAACTGATCGCTTTAACAGAATTAGAAAAATGTTTCTTCAAACCTGATAGGCCATTGTGATACAAAAGTGTCTCACAAGATGACAATTCATCAAAATCACTAAATCCAGATAGGGCCATGGAAGACTAAAAATATCTGTTATTAAGAGGCAGTATATAGGTTGGAAGCAGGCCACCTGAAAATCGATAGAGAAGTGTCTGATGAACCTTCGGAAACCGAATGCAAAAACGGTTTAATGCGTTAAAAATAGGAAGCTGATTGATATTGTTTTAGCGCACCATCAAGCGGAGCTGAAAAATCTGAAAGGTCGCAAATGGTAAGGTATGAGAAAAAAGGTGAGACTATAATTTACGGACGACCTTTGAGAGACGCCAGACTGACCTTTAGAGTGTCCACCTAATAACCAGGGTCAAATGAGGGTTACAAACCTTTGTGATGAATTAAAATAATGATTTACAGTTGATGATTAAGGTTGGAAATTAGATATAGGGTTTTCATCACGAAATGACACCAGCCATAATGCCAAAACTCTATTTATCCGAATGAATGAGTGAAATCCGCGCCAAAATCCAAGATCTGTTATCTTATACATGGTTGGTTCGTCCATAAATTATAGTTTCGCCGAAAAAAGCAGTACAGTAAAATACCATTTATACACAATGACTGAGGGCTATATTTCATAAAAATATTCGAATTATGATTCGAGAAATGACATAACAAAACCCAGATAACAGGGGTGAAGAAACGTGTTCATGTAAATACTCCGGATGGTACCATATGGTCCTGCAGGACGAGCGTAGTGCTCAACCCGATCAGAAAGCCGGAATTGCTATAAGAGTAAATCTTCCAATGAGATGTGTATAAATTTTTCGCTTAACTAATTTCCGAATAGTTTTAGTCGTCCAACTAATCTATTGACCCTACTCAAACAACCATTTATTCCTACCGTCTCGTAAATCCCGCCACAACCTTCCAGTTGTATTACTGAGTTATCTGAACAAGAACAAAAAAACAAATTTCCCAACTCATCACATTTTTCTATGTTTCTCGTGCTCCTAAAAACTTTGTTACAGAAAACGTCTGTGAATTAAAAACGGGGACTTAGCCATTTTTCTGTACAGGGTAAATCTTTTAGTTTTTACTGTATACTGAGATGTAAAAACTTCTTTCATACTCATTTCAGTCACATATTTCAGTTACAGTACCAAAGAATTCTGATCCTCTTGTGTTCAACGTTTATCACCTTTAGAATTTCAAAAAACACTTATTCTAGAAATCGGCTTCTTCTTTGTTCGATAGAGGTAAATGTGTAGTGACTCACGTTTATCACGAGAACACGACTGGTTTAATAAAAACAATTATTATTATAACCAACTGTACCAGTGTTTGTTTTAATGTGCTTTTGTTTGACTGTGCTAATGACAGCTATTTCGTGCTTCCATTCTTTTACACACACTTCGATTGTAACTTCGCGCGAATTCGGTTACCTTCTGTAACCAAGGTTGTATCCTGGCACGATCTCGGTATCCTTTCGATGCCACGAGATCGCCAGCAAATATACACCTCGACTTGGTCCATTAACTGCCTTCTGATATTTGGCTTCTCGGGATTTTATGGATCTATTTGGTTACGTCCAACCCTCGCCTTCTGATTCGCTTGGCACGTGTTTCTTGGTAGCGGTGTTCATAGTTAATCACAACTCGACGCCACGCTACAATTGGTGACCCGTATTTTGGAACACGCCTCAACTTCTGATCAAATCTTCCAAAGAAGCCAATTCGGTGAGTCTATGATTTATCTATCCACGTCTGTCGTATATTTTCATATTTTTTAATATATAATATACTCGACATGACGGATAACGATAAGAATAGTATTATTATAATAGACTCACATGTACGTGTACCGAATCCTTGTTACTTTTTATTCGCGTGACGATGAATTCCACGCTTTATTCGAGAAATTTTCCCCTATTAACTATTCTCCTCGCTGACCCGGCTGCTTGGTACGGAATGCATACGCATGAGCATATCCGTCTACCACCCAGCACCAAATGGTTAAGTAAACGGTTTCACTGCCAACTTAAAATGCTCTACGAGCACACGAAAACGGCAACTGGCACGAAACCTTACCGCTCGTTCTTTTAGGGATCAGAACGAGCTTAAAGGCAGATATCCAATGTTCCGCCCTGAACTTGTATACGGCACGACATTGCGTCTGCCCGGAGAATTCTTCACACCACGGAGCAGACCTAATTTCGGTAAATCAGACTACGTCCATCGACTGTCTGCATTTATGCGAACGCTGTCTCCGGTGTCAACTCGAATACAATGTCGACAGGTCGCTCTCCCTCGAGAGTTATCTACCTGTTCACATGTTTTTGTACGAGTAGATTTGGTACGCAAACCTTTGCAACAGCCTTACGAAGGCCGTTTTCACGTGATCGCTCGTCACGAAAAGACCTTCAAGGTTGATGGACATGGCCGCGTCGAGATCGTCAGCGTTGATCGTCTCAAACCAGCACACGTCGATGAAAGTGCCCTATCTGGTAACCTGAGATTCAATGCTAGACCTATCAAACCTGCTAGCAGGATCCTTAAATCTTCTTCAGGTCCCACGCTAGATACATCTGTGACCTCATTCTCACGTCCCGGTCAACAGCACGCGTCACCTGCACCGTCTACGGACGAGACGATAGTCTCACGTCCAGACCAGCAGACCACGCCGCCTCTGACCTCGGATGAGATTGCAGGCTCATGAAATACGAACGAGACTACCGTCTCACGTTCCGGTCGCCGAGTACGGTTACCCGTACGCTTCCGCGACTAGCCGCACAGTTAACAACCGATACGGTGTAGGATTATTCCTATACTACACGCATGCTACACTCTTCTCTTTTTTGATTTTCTTTTTGTTTCCTGAGCCCACGCCTTCGACCATCTCCGTTTGGTTCCGTCGACTTCAGTCAACTTTGGCGAAAGCTGGCCTGATCACCCACGCTCTTGTCAACGCACTCAGTCGATATTTGGTTTCGAATGCTTGGCATACGCTTGGTCTCGAACTTGGTCGTTATGGTCGCTTCTGGTCTTTTGGCTCAACGTGGTTTCGTCCTACGTCTGCAGCGTTTCTGGTGCGCACCCTACGAACGCCCCCTTCAGATTCTGGATACAAACCACTCTGGTGTAGCATGCCAACTCAAGCAATAAATACAACACATCGCTCCTGGTACCGTTCTCCGAAAACGACCTTCGTTGGCAACTCGACGATCAACGATCGCTTTCCTGTTCGCCAATTCTTCCGTCCTACAATCGCTCGTCAGCCGATCAGTCCCACGATTCAAACCGCTATTTATCGAAAGTGTAAACCCTTTCTAGCGGGGGGCTCCTGTAGTGACTCACGTTTATCACGAGAACACGACTGGTTTAATAAAAACAATTATTATTATAACCAACTGTACCAGTGTTTGTTTTAATGTGCTTTTGTTTGACTGTGCTAATGACAGCTATTTGTGCTTCCATTCTTTTACACACACTTCGATTGTAACTTCGCGCGAATTCGGTTACCTTCTGTAACCAAGGTTGTATCCTGGCACGATCTCGGTATCCTTTCGATGCCACGAGATCGCCAGCAAATATACACCTCGACTTGGTCCATTAACTGTCTTCTGATATTTGGCTTCTCGGGATTTTATGGATCTATTTGGTTACGTCCAACCCTCGCCTTCTGATTCGCTTGGCACGTGTTTCTTGGTAGCGGTGTTCATAGTTAATCACAACTCGACGCCACGCTACAATTGGTGACCCGTATTTTGGAACACGCCTCAACTTCTGATCAAATCTTCCAAAGAAGCCAATTCGGTGAGTCTATGATTTATCTATCCACGTCTGTCGTATATTTTCATATTTTTTAATATTTAATATACACGACATGACGGATAACGATAAGAATAGTATTAATATAATAGACTCACATGTACGTGTACCGAATCCTTGTTACTTTTTATTCGCGTGACGATGAATTCCACGCTTTATTCGAGAAATTTTCCCCTATTAACTATTCTCCTCGCTGACCCGGCTGCTTGGTACGGAATGCATACGCATGAGCATATCCGTCTACCACCCAGCACCAAATGGTTAAGTAAACGGTTTCACTGCCAACTTAAAATGCTCTACGAGCACACGAAAACGGCAACTGGCACGAAACCTTACCGCTCGTTCTTTTAGGGATCAGAACGAGCTTAAAGGCAGATATCCAATGTTCCGCCCTGAACTTGTATACGGCACGACATTGCGTCTGCCCGGAGAATTCTTCACACCACGGAGCAGACCTAATTTCGGTAAATCAGACTACGTCCATCGACTGTCTGCATTTATGCGAACGCTGTCTCCGGTGTCAACTCGAATACAACATCGACAGGTCGCTCTCCCTCGAGAGTTATCTACCTGTTCACATGTTTTTGTACGAGTAGATTCGGTACGCAAACCTTGGCAACAACCTTACGAAGGCCCTTTTCACGTGATCGCTCGTCACGAAAAGACCTTCAAGGTTGATCGACATGGACGCGTCGAGATCGTCAGCATTGATCGTCTCAAACCAGCACACGTCGATGACAGTGCCCTATCTGGTAACCTGAGATTCAATGCTAGACCTATCAAACCTGCTAGCGGGATCCTTAAATCTTCTTCAGGTCCCACGCTAGATACATCTGAGACCTCATTCTCACGTCCCGGTCAACAGCACGCGTCATCTGCACCGTCTACGGACGAGACGACAGTCTCACGTCCAGATCAGCAGACCACGCCGCCTCTGACCTCGGATGAGATTGCAGGCTCACGAAACACGAACGAGACTACCGTCTCACGTTCCGGTCGCCGAGTACGGTTACCCGTACGCTTCCGCGACTAGCCGCACAGTTAACAACCGATACGGTGTAGGATTATTCCTATACTACACGCATGCTACACTCTTCTCTTTTTTGATTTTCTTTTTGTTTCCTGAGCCCACGCCTTCGACCATCTCCGTTTGGTTCCGTCGACTTCAGTCAACTTTGGCGAAAGCTGGCCTGATCACCCACGCTCTTGTCAACGCACTCAGTCGATATTTGGTTTCGAATGCTTGGCATACGCTTGGTCTCGAACTTGGTCGTTATGGTCGCTTCTGGTCTTTTGGCTCAACG